GGTTGGCGAGTTGGTCGTCAGTGCATGGGTGGGGTGACTTTTAGGAGGTCATGTTGGGAGGAGATGAAAGCATGTGGACAGACCTGGAGCGGGGTGAAAAAGTTGGCAGAAAACAGAAGGTAATGGAGTTGCGCAGCTGAAGCCCTATGTTCCTCTAGGAATTAAAGGATACAATATTTTTTATTTTTTATTACAGCTTGATTCCACACCGTATTTTTGGTACAAGTATGGAATTTTCAGCGTGGATATCGGTAGCCCAAATTTTGCAGGCCAACCAATAATAATAATAATAATGATTCAACAGAAATCTGATCGTAACTCCATTATGGATTATATTTTATTTTGATAAATCACAGTGTTGTACAGTAATATTTACTGATGACGTTTCGAGCACAAACTATTGTTCATAATCATTTTGCAAGTGAAACTAGATAACTGTCACCTTTTGCTATGGAATTACACGAATTAAAATATAAAAATATGATATACACTCGAATATGCATTGAAAAATAGTACCAGTGAGAAATACAATCAGTAATTTGAACTATGATATGTTATGATTAAGAGCAATAGTTTGTGCTCGAAACGTCATCAGATAATATTACTGTACAACACTGTGATTTATCAAAATAAAATCTTATCCATAATGGAGTTATACTCTACCACAGTGCCCAAGTTTTATACTTATATCAATTGAACTATCATTCGTTGGTGTTAAATAACTATCCTATAAAATTCATTAGGAAGATAAGAAAAGGCCAAAGGCAAAATAAAAATGATAGGAAAACTAATAATGATAAGATAAATAAGAAAGGATATAAGACATGTACAGTTTCACCATATTTTGAAATAAGGGGACATCTGAAATCCTACGAAGGATGCTTGGTAAAACAGGAATTAGAGTGGCATTTAAACCTGCAAACTGACTCAGGGACAAGCTCTGTAGGTTAAAGGAACCTGTTGACCCAATTAGACAAAATAATATAGTCTACAAAATGTCTTTCAATGACTGTGGGGCCAACTAAATGGGTCAAACTAGTAGATTGGAGGTAGTCAGGTTGTCAGAACACAAGAATTTAGTTAGAGGTGGAATGTAGAAAAAAAAAATCCCCATTTATACACATTTAGAAAGCAAAAGGACCGAGCGAAAAAATATTTACTTCTCAATTAGATCCTCATCTCTGATTCTACTCTGATATGCATAGTAGTTTTATTACAATACATAACAATTTACCAATCAAGTGGGAATATGTTTGTTAACAATAATTACCCAGTATCAACATGTCAAGGGAGTGATGATTAACGGAGAAAGTTAATACACACAATTAAAAAGGTGGATTGCATAATTTTGCAAAAATAAAGAGTAATTAAGGAATAAGCGAGTGCTCAAATCAACTACGTAACGGATCACTTGAGAAAAATAAAACGATTTGGACAGTGATAACGTGTAATTAAAGATGAAGTAGTCTGAAAAATAATAAAATAATTGCGACAATTATAATTTTCAAAGGATTTAGTGGGACAGGGACGAAGTAGTCCGGTTTATACATTTATGTAGTGATAATCAAGGTAAGGAAAGTGATTGTACAAATTTCTTCTAAACGCACAGGTTTGGTTTTTCTTCAGGTGGATTTCCATGGCTTCAGCTATATGTGGAAGATGAACTCGTAAAGCAGAATTAAGATTAGTAGGAATGCGTTAAGTAATTTTAAATGCTGTATTAACATCAACATTATCCTCAGTATCTAGAAGGTGTGCTAAGCCAGAGCTAAGAATAGATCTTGTCTGTCCCTTGCCGGATAGTGTTCGGAAATACGATGATGAACCTGCATAGCTGTTCTCTTGATATAGCTGGCACCGCAGCTGCAATCAAAATGGTAGATACACACAGATGATGTTACATAAGGTAGTTTGTCCTTATTTCTCGAACGTAAAGTAGGCGTGATAGTGAAGTGGTATAAATGTTAGAGTAGAGCCAGAGATGAGGATATAATTGAAAAGTAAATATTTCTTCGCTCAACTCTTTTCCTTTCTAAAAGTTAGGATGATTGACCCCGCGAAGATAAGTAATTTAGGAAAAAGCTTGGCAACTGTACTGCATGCGTTAACACACAATAGAGTGGAAAAGAATTAAAAATTCTAAAAGGTAATGTAGGTGGGTGGAGAGAGAGATTGATTACTGGGACTTTATTCATACAATCTACACCCAACAAGTGCAGTAGGAATGACTCATCACTCATACCAGAAATATAGAAAATATTACTATCAATCAAATCAAGAAATGAGAAATAGTAGAATCATAAAAATGAAGTTGGAAAGCTGTATGAGTAACTTAATATGATTAGGGGCAATAAGTTATGCTCGAAACGTCATCAGTAAATATTGCTGTATCTCACACTATGAGATTTTTACGAAATTAATTTTGCAAAGTTTGAGTAGTCTGAAAATCCCATTGAGTCTTATGAAAAAGAGAAGACGTTGAGCGAAGAGACTCTTATCGGCGAACTCATCCACATAGCTGTAGTATCGCATTTATATATAATTCAAGTGTTGGTTTGCAGGGAATTGATTGCTTACATGATTTCATCATGAGCTGAGATTGGTTAGAGAACACCTGGAAAACCTGAGAGTACTGGACATCTATATCCCGGTGGGTGAGTACTGCCAAGGAGTCCCAAACTAGGATGAAACAGCTGTCCAGTACTCCCAGGTTTTCCAACCATTCTCTAAACAATGTCAGCTCATGATGGAATCTGACATATAATTAATCGTGTGTGTACATGAGGTCTGTCAAGTTTAGACAATTGATCAGGTAATACAAGAATCATCTAATATAGAAACAGGGTTAATCAGACAGCAACTAAAGTGAGATTGTATGGAGGATTTCACCATGAGCTGACATCAGTTAGAGAACCACTGGAAAACCTGGGAGTACTGGACAGCTGTTTAATCCTAGTTTGGGACTCTTCAACAGTACGTACCCACCGGGGTTCGAATCCAGGACCTTCTGGTTACAAGGCGAGCTCGTAGACCATTGAGCCACTGGGACCCGATCCAATGGTTCTTGAATTCTAACTTCTGCCAATCCACGACATTGCGTGACCACTTCGCAATGTCTTCCTCGATGAGTTACTGCCCCATCTTCGACCTGCTGTACCCTACTGGTCACGGCTTCCCACTAGAACCCCAGGTTAACTGCCTGAATAAGGCCAGTTGCTAGTGAGCATCAGATGAATTTTCAAGTATTGGTTTTGTAGGGATTTTATTTGATTGGATGGAGGATTTCATTATGAGCTGACAACATTTAGAGAACCACTGGAAAACCTGGGAGTACTGGACAGCTGTTTCGTCCTATTTTGAGTTAGTATGTTAGATGACGTAATATAATTGACTGAAATGTTTCAACTTAGTTCAGGATAGCAACAGAGGTAATTACAGGTAGAGAATAAGTAGAAGTAGAAGTGGAGTAGAGAATGCCTACTGCCACTTAAATTAGAACTGAAATTCAACAAATAAGTTGGATATAAGAATAAAACTTGTGCACTGTGGTAGAGTGTAATTCCGTTATGGGTAAATTTTGTTTGATAAAGTCTCACAGAGTTATACAGTAATGTTTACTGATGATATCACCTTGATATGATTATGAGCAGTGAATTGTGCTCGAAACGTCATCAGTAAACATTACTGTATAACACTGTGAGACATTATCAAACAAAATTTACCCACAATGGAAATAAGTTGGATGACGCAACATAAATGAGTGACTAGAAATTCAGCGTTGGTCAAGTCAGTAACAGTGGTAGTGAGGTGTAGAAATTAAAACGAGTGGGGGGGTAGAGAACAGGAAAGTTGAATATGCAAAATATTACATATTGAGAAGAAAAAATAATACTAATGAAGACTATGACAAAAAAAGTTTAGGTAGACTTTACTAGTTGGGCGATAAGATAGATTGCGTCCATTGAAAGAGTAGTACCCGATTTAATTTCTACACCTCACTACCACTGTTACTGACTTGACCAACGCTGAATTTCTAGTCATTTATATTACGTCATCCAACCTATTTGCTCAATTTCAGTTTTAATTTAAATGGCATTAGGCATTCTCTACTCCACTTCCACTCAGTCTCTACCTGTAATTACCTCTGTTGCTATCCTGACCTAAGTTGAAACATTTCAGTCAATTATATTACATCAACTAACTTACTAACTCAATCTTACTTTAGTTGCTGTCTGATGAACCTAGTTTGTTATATTAGATCATTCCTGTATTACCTGATCAATTATCTAAACTTGACAAACCTCATGCACACACACACACACAAATAAATAAATTCGATTGTACAGATATGTGAATGAATTCGCTGAAAAGTGTCTGTCTCTTTGCTGAACGTCTTCTCTTTTTCAAAATAAATTTTATGCACAATGGAATTATACTCTACCACCACAGTGCTCTAGTTCAATTCTTATATCAACGAACTATCACAAATTAATTACTACTCGTCATGTGAAAAACACTCACGCTAGAAAAGTTCATTATCATTTAGTAAATAAGTATTCAAAGTTATGCAGTGAAATGTAGTCACTTAGCTTAACGAAACATCCAAAATACATCCAAAGTGTTCAGTGTTCTCCCCAGATTGGATATTTAATGCTAAATGATCGGTTCATCACCATGGCTCATGACATGCTCAACAGTAAATTTTTATTTTGAATATCAAATATTTGTTTTTATCCTCACACTGTGCCCTACAAGTCGTTCCGTCAGTGGCTCAGTGGTTAGGACTCTCGCCGACCATGCAAATGGTCCGGGGTTCGATTCCCAGCCGGCGACGAACACCTGATATCTATGGTCGGCCTGCAAAATTTGGGCTGCCGATATCACATGCTGAAAATTCCATACTTGTGCCAAAAATACGGTGTGGAATCAAGCTGTAATCAAAATAAAAATTATAGGTTGGTAGACAATCCGTAATCCACTAGTGTGGACAAGACATCTTCAACTTTTAAAGTACCACGTAAACACCCAGACATATATTCACCATTAGTGAAATAAAGTAAAACAAACTAATTATCAGAAATTATTGAATATGCTTATTTGCATTTTTTTTCAATGTAAAAATTTCATTACATGAAATTAGTTGTGGAAAAAGGTGGACGACCACAAGAAAAAGTTTGTCACACAATATATAATGCAGAATGCATTCAAAGAAGGTGTGACCTTTCAGTGATGGCTTTTTTCTTCTCCACATCGTCATTATTGTTGCCATACACACACACACATCTTGCTTCGTCAACATCACGAAGACAACATGTGAGGTGAAAAAGGAAAGACGAAAATGAGGATGAAATAATAGAAAAAAGAAATACAAAAGCGAAGGTAATCAACAGAAAGCAACAAAAGAGTATTAGAATATAGTAGAGATAAATGAATTTTGTGCGTTGTATTTTTCGTACACACACACACACACAGAGAAATAAACACATAAAAATATGCTGCTTAATGTTATGTTCACTCTTATAATCCATACGACGTATACGTACGTGCATGTGTAATAATATGCATGTTTGGTTGTGTACATGCGTGTGTCGTAGAAAAAGAAGTAGATACTAGAAAAGCAGTTTAATAACCAAAGGGAAGCTGACAACAACAACAACAACAATCACATCAATGAAGTCTGCAACAAAAAGTAACATACTACTGACTCTGCATGAATATCAGTAGTACATGAGATACGTACTGATGCATTTACTAACAAAGTTATCAAATTCATATGTATATAAAATGTTTAAAAAAAAGGATTCAGTAAGTAATATTGATAGTGTATCTCGCATTATAAAACTGGAATATTTCAAAAGAAGAGAAAAGTATAAAGGAAAGCTAACCAAATGTGACTAGTTGGTGGTGATATGTTGTTTTGTATCAAGTGTAGTGTAGTGTAGCAGCAGTAAACAACAAAAGTACGTCAAATGTTATCGTGAATGCGTTGAATCGTTGTACAGCAAGCAGCAGATAAATGCAATCGAAAGTGTTTTCAGACTGTAACCATTCCGAAAACACTCCACTTATCTTCCTTTGATTCATCTGATGTTTTGTACAGATGCTAAGAGGAGACATGATTTATAACCCCATTAATGAACCTAGACATATGAAGAATTTAAAAAAAAGATAAGTAAGTGTCAAGACATGAAAAGTACGAGCATTAGCATAAAATGAGCACATTTTTAAGCGAATACACTTTTCAATGAAAGTCAGTTAATTGGTTGGTTGGCATTGATGATAAATATCAACGATAAGAGGAACAATGTGTTGACAATGGGATTAATTTGGGACTAAAATCCAGAAGAATTTATGTATGCCATATTCCGTTAGTTATCCTCACTTTGGAGACGAAATATGCTCACCATTCACAGTGAAAGTATACAGGGGAAATCATTTCCCATACACGAAATTCCTCTAGACAAATAACCCAAATTTATGTGAATAAAGAAGCATACATATCTAATCAATACCGCCAACAAATTGGTCTTCTAACCATATTCGATAACACAAGGAAGTATGATTACTATGGATGCGTGAATTAGATGTCCAGTTTGAGATCTGCTCAAACCCATTTCGCCTTGAAGACTGAATAGTGTCATCAGTATACAAATAAGGCAGCTTATAATCTGGTATACAGTTCGATTACGGACTCTCTCACTTGAAGAAAACCCATAATAACTTGCATTTCAAGCAGACTAACAGGTGATTACTGATGAATTTTATGCCATGATGGGGGGGGGATAAACTAAGTAAGCAAAACCAAGTGTAACAAACTGCAGACGTATTATTCTAATCTATTCACTACTAACAAAAGCATAGAAATACACACCTTTATTCTACTTAGCTTTGCATTCAATAGAAAAAATCTAATAAAAATCACAGTAGTCAAATATTCCAATCTACATTTCGTCGTGAACCAACATCATTTAGAGAATCATTGAAAACCAGGTAGTGTACTGGACAGTGATAATGAGTGCTAAACTAGACCGAAGCAGCTAGCTATCCAGTACTCCCTGGTTTTCAATGGTTCTGCAACCGATGTCAGCTCGTGATGAAATTCTCCAACCAATATACGATATATATTTTTGTCAAATGAAATCGTCTTTGTAGTAACCTAACAAGTCTTTATCTTCCGGTTTTATCGCGGCTTTTTATGACACAGCTACATAAGGCATTCCATGTCATTAGTACCAGAATCTTAAGTCACATCAGATCATTTACTGGTGTAGCGTACTGATGTGCCACGCAAAATGTTTTTGTCATATTCAATTCGATATAGTTTCAAAGCACTGCTTTTACAGTTCAGTTTTTTAGATACTACCACTCGGTGGCATAACGGTTAGGACGCTCGCCGACCATGCACATGGTCCGAGGTTCGATCCCCGGCCGACTCACTCCTTTACCTCGCTAAGCCAGAAATAATCCTGGTAAAGAGGAAAGGTTGGGCATGAGACTACCAACCCCATCCTGTAAATTCAATAAACACTTCTACAGAAACTTCAAGCCACTAGCTTGAAGTCCTATGTTCCACTGGGGAACGTGAAGGAAAAAAAACCAATCGGTTGTCATATTGTGGGTCTAGCTGAACTACAAATGAAAATCTGTCAAAAAAAGTGACATCAAGTCAGACAGAAGTTGCAGAAATCCTCTTTTAGACTATACAGAGATAACCAATTGACACAAACTGCTTCTAGACTGGAAGACAACAATCCGATTGATATCCTTCTGCCGAACAAGAGATAGGCAACCTCCACAAATGTGATTCAAACAATGAAGGCTGAAGAGTAATTTTAGCATTATCCTATTTTAAATTTTTTCGGAGTGGAGTAGCCACTGATCAGAGGTTGAATAAAACCCCATAGAAGCGAAGCAGGTGTATAGGTCACTTCAATTACTCATGAATTTGCACTAGTGATGACACTTCGTAAGACACTCATACATTCACTAACCAGAATCCTAACTCTGATAATAACTAAACTTAAATATTCATATGACGAGTTATGAGTATTCTCCAGTAGTATGTAGGATCTATAATAAACAAAATTTTATTTAAAGATACAAGACTAATTCATTTTTATTTTTATTTTTTTGATTTACAGCTTGATTCCACACTGTATTTTTGGTACAAGTATGGAATTTTCAGCATGGATATCGGTAGCCCAAATTTTGCAGGCCGACCATAGATATCAGGTGTGCGCCGGCGTGGGCTCGAACCCCGGACCATGTGCATGGTCGGCGAGAGTCCTAACCACTGTGCCACCGACGCTTATGTGTGATAGAAACAAACACAGAAAACAAGTTCACCCATACGATTCGTGATTACTAAGAACAGTGTAGATTTCGATAGAGAAAGAAAGACCAGATTTACAGTATAAAATAATACTATCATTCTATCTCACAGGTTCTCATCAGCTGCACATCTCTACCTGAAATTACAATGGTTATAAATAATAACATTTCATACTTCAATGTTTGAAACGAAATAGAGAAAACATTAGAAGATGAACGCATCCGGAATAGTGTAAGTATTACAATTTTTAGTTTAAGTTACCATCAATTTATATGCTATCAAACTATGGAAAAAGAAAAAGGCGGGGGCCGGAGAAGACAGAATAAAGAAAAATCTAATAATCAGTGTTAGCTTGTACGTCAACATGGCAACTCAAGAAGCTTAAAGTTCATCAAATTGAAAATTTGTTTAGTGAGCTGAGTTCACTAGTGTATATGACTAATTAGTGTAATGAAAGTAATACCGTTACCAAGGGAGTGAAAGATTGACTACACTCTCTTTTTGTGTGCATAAGTCTGGTCTGAGACGCTTGATTGCAATCGCTTCAGCAAATCATGGTAGATTTGCTGTCCTTTGTATGTTCAATATTTTGAAGGATTTGGAAATCTCGACAAAATGACCCGTATCCACAAGGTGTCTGGTAATTGCACTTTGTAAATATCTGCTTCCTTTTGGAATATGCTTTGAAAACCAGATAGAAGCCCTTCTTTCTCTCCTTCCAATGTACTTGCTGCCGCGAGTGCATGTAAATTTATAAATTCAATTGGAGGCAATATCAGCAGGGTACTTATCATTTTATTCTGTAAATCTGGTCTTTCTTTCTCTATCGAAATTTATCAAGGGAACCGAATGTATGTAGATGTTCCCACTCGGGAAACCCATTACTGGCTTACCTACTTCTTAGACTATGGATTTATGCCACTATCCAGTTGTCTTGAGTAATTTGATTCCTTCAGGATCTGTTTTACATAGCTCTTATTCCTTCTGATCTAATAATATTAGTATAATTTAAAAGAGTGGCTATCATATTATCATTGGGTGGGTGGTGACAATAATTTTTTAAGACGAAATAACACAGAACTTACTATTTAATCGGTAGCAGGATAGATCAATCATGCAACATTGGTGTACCAGTCATCATAGAAAACTAGGATACTCTCACAGATGTAATAATACCATAAATGTATACATGATACATGAGATAATTAAGCAAATCATTTATCACCGGAAATATTTTGCTCCTGAAACACAAATAAATTTTTCTAAAAATATTTCAGAATCTAATACAGCAATATGCGCTGCACGACCAATTAGTGTGTTCGCTGAATTCGTCAAACTATAATGTACATCATATCGAACAACAGTGGTACGTGTAGACTTGATAAGACGTTGTAGTAAATTTGTAACCATTTCCATATAGATAAAGCCTGTAATAAAAGTTTTAAAATCACAGCATAAGAATGACAGTAATAATAATAATAATAATAAACGTAATAACAGACAGCACTTGTGCTTGTGAGCAGTGCGACCGTTAGCATTTCAAACCCACGCTTTATGTACACTAAAAGCGTGTCCAAATTATCCTTCTGTCGTGTTCTTCAAACTATTTTTTTTACTTGTTGAATTAAATTTTTAGTAAGTAATTCATTATTACCACTTTAACATGCTCTTTTTGCACTTTCTTCTCCTCATGCAATAGAAATTTTCACCTTATCGGATTTCAAGCCACCACATACATTGCCTTGTTGATTATTATCACGTAATTTTATCTTTCTTATCTTCAGAGAGAGTCACTGTATTGATGATTTAACTGTCATTATTGACCATTTTACCTTTCAGTAGTAAACGAATACGATTTTACAGGTATCGAAGATAACTCTGTTGATAAGTAAAATTATTTCGCTGAGTATTTACAGAACCTGAAAGCTATTCAGGAATTAAAGTAATGATTCCTGTTTTATCTAGAATTCATTACACGAGTGTACCCAAATTCAATTAGGTGTTGCTGTTTTCACGGATGATCGGATTCAGTACTGGACAGTATATGCAGCTAATGATGTGGTGTAAGAATATACCCGTGGTTAGCGAATTCGAGTCATTTGAAAGGGGTGAAAGTAATGACATAAATTGCACATTTAAAGATGTACATGAAGATACACACTTTTATGTGGTGGACTACGATCGCTTATAATATGTATAATGGAATAATCTGGACACTTTCTAATTGACCTTCATTAGCTATGATTCCTACACACCTTAGTTATGATCCAAGGTAGTAAAGCAGACTGTTTCAAGGTACTCGTTAAAGACAAGACGATATGAGTTCTATATACATCGCAGCGAATAAACAAGTCAGACAAGATGCGAAGTGAAAAGATGGAAATTTGAGTTCAACAGTTCGATAGCGTAATTATCAAACAGGTCCCCTGATTGCTTACTTGAATTTATCCCTTTGATGTATGTACCGACAAAAAAGTAAACGACACCATTTAGTTATTATTCATACCCTAAAACAGTTCTAACATCTGTCATATCCAGTATTCAAGTTAGTTTGGAGGGAGGTTGTGAAAGTTGAAGCTTTCAGGTGATAGCTTAGCACATTGCATTATTGTTTTGATTAAATAAAAGTGTGTATAATAAAAATAAAACAAAACTTTTAAAAAAATCAACAGGCAAAATTTACCGAGTGTAGAAGAATCTCGGATTGCTGCTTTGCATAATTCAATTCGCGTTGAATGATATGGTACATAACGATCCTGTGGACTACCAACCAAAAGTACATAACGAAATAAATCTAAACCAGGACTAGAACTTAGACGATATAAATAAGTATTGCGCAGATCAGGATCATCTCGTAGTCTTAACTGGGAAAGACTTTCAGATTTTTTAATCTTTTGCATCACCCAAATACCCATATTAATGAGACCGGAAGAGTTGTATACAGTGCCTAAATGTGGACCACTAAGAGAAAGGAATGTATGCAATTTGGACAAATAGCGTTTCATACGATGATCTAACAGTGCTGCACGAATTATTACACAACCCATACTGTGTCCAATAAAACTGAAAAATAAAAACAAAACAAAACAAAAAAAAAGAATTGGATGTGAGAGCAAAATAAAAATAAATCTATCATTCAAATGGAAACGTATCTTGAGAGTACCATTCGTGAATAACTGCCTACACAATGGATGAACTCATGAATTGTCTAAAAATGAAGAGAATATAAAAACACACAATCCTTTACCATGGATTTTTAGCAGCTTAGCTAGACGAAAATTGACAATTGTGAAGATATGATTGTCATAAAATAAAATCAATTGTAAGGACTAGCAAGAAGTTTTATGCAACGATAAAAAGGCTGTCCAACTGATGCCGATTATCAGTACTTCAGTTGGCGTCTATTTGTAGAACGACAAAAGTAATTCTCAGGAGTAAGAATATTAAGTAGTGGGTGGATGTGTACTGATGAGGAGTCCCAAAATAAAACGAAACAAATGTCCGGTACCCCCAGGTTTTCCAATGACTCTCCAAGTGATGTCAGCTCCAACTAATAAAATTTAAAAGACTCTACAGGCAGTTATGAGAGTATGTTATCAAGCGTTTTACTGTAAGGTAGCCTACAGTCATCTGTAACACTGCTGAGAAGGAAGCATCACTTCCAGAATTACATCTGTATAAATATCTTTCTCCGACACACTTCATCATAGAGTGACTTTTTCGGATAAAACCACAGAGAGTGATATCATACTATTTACTGATGACTTTACGACCACAATTCATTACTCAGCATTGATATTGATGTGTTCACATAGCTTCCAAACTTTGTGCATATAATTTCTTTATTCCGTATCCCTTGATTTTACTAGTGGCAATATTCTTCTACATTTCTAGTATATTGGAGCTGCGTCATTCCTATTGCATCTGTTAGGTGCAGACTCGATGAGCAAACTCTCCCTTCTCCTAGATATATCATTTTTCAAAACTAAAGTATATATATATATATATATATATATATATATACAAATACGAAGTCTCTTCGACGTCATGCAATTAATTGTGCTGATCCTATCAGACCACGTATGCCCGAAATGCAGCGGAATATTAATCAAAGGCCCTCTGCCCTATACGAAATGACTCCGGACGAATGTCAAAGATTCACCGAATATACAAAGGTGGTTGCAAATAAACGATCGCAGTCTGCCGTAACCCAGCTCAACAACAGCCTTAAGTAGATGAAAACTCAAGGCAAATTTTCTGACGAGCTCACAAAATTTGTGTTCAATTATTCCTCAGTACCTTTAACCGACGTGCAACAGGAAGTTCTATCTCTGGGCCCGAAATTCTGCGATATCAATTTCAATGCCGACAAACTTTGACTCAGGTCCAGTTTGAAAATCTAATCAGCCAAACGAACGATCTCATCCCAACTTCTGGGGACGAGTTACAGAGATTCAAGTCAACAATCATTGACTACTGCCACCAAAACCTGAATACAAAAGTAAAAGTCCACAACCACCTAACAAAGCGGCACCGAGAAGAATTAAAACAGTTGGGAGATAACAAAGATCTGCTAATAACTCGCCCCGACTAGGGTGTCGGTGTAGTGCTCTCGAATCGAAAAGACTACATCGAGAAAATGAACGATACACTGTCGAATGAAGATGAATTTTTCCAACCTTCCAATGGAAGAAACAAAACAGAACGGATTGAGAAGCAGCTCACAGACGTCTTGAAGAGAATGAAAACCAATCAACTAATCAGTGCGGATATCTACAACCAGATCCGGCCAACAGATTCAATAATACCAAGACTTTATGATCTACCAAAGGTACACAAGGTTGGTCTTCCACTTCGCCCAATTCTGGATATGTCAGGTTCTCCTTACCACTCTATTGCAAAATCGCTAGCAGATATTCTGGAAGCTCTAAAGAAACAATTATAAACGCACTCGCTCCGTGACACCTTCCAGTTCATCGACTGCATACAAGACATAAATTTATCTAACAAAATTATGCTGTGCTTCGACATTGAGTCACTTTTCACAAATGTCCCACTCACGGAAACGATCTGCTTCCTATGCAAATACATAGATGACAACCATCTCAATATTGGAATACCAACAACTATTGAGATGCACTCTGAACGTCCAGTTCACATTTAACGACACCATCTACAGACAAAAAGATGGTATTGCAATGGGATCTCCGTTGGATTCACTACTATTAGATCGCTTCTTTGTAAGCCTTGAGAAATGTCTACTAAAGCCAAGCATAGACAGTCTACTACTGTGTAAAAGATACGTGGATGACATATTCATTATTTGTGACAACGGTAATGACCCCAGTCTACTGCTGCAGACATTTAACTTTTGCCATTCAACAATAAAATTTACTCTTGAAGTGGAAAACGAATCGAAAATTGCATTTCTTGATGTGGAACTAACAAGAAGAACTGATGAGACCTTAAGAAGATCGACTCATAGAAAAGCTACTTAGAATGGTCAACTAACAAGCTTCCATAGCTGGGGGTACCCATTCAACAAAAGCGGAATTTAGTTAAATTCTAAAATGAATACACACCAAGATTCACTGAGAAAATATCAAACCAAGAATTCGGAGAAACGAAACTTCACTTGCACTGAAAAACAAACTCTACAAGAACATGGATTTCAAGGGAGATTTAACAGGCGATATTCTTGAGAGAATGATCACATTTCTGAGAAAAACATTCTTTGCAGCGGCGTTAAGAATAATGTCCTCCAGTAGTTCACTGATCTGAAAAAGCCTTAAGGGTAAGATCCTGCATATAACCACTTCTCTGTGCAGATATCAGGTCACCTGCTGCTGTGGAGCCAGGTGCATCTGTTGTTCTGCGCGCATTATGTCCAGGAGGATTAAAGAACACTATCCACCATGGTTGCGAAAAGGCAATAGTGGTGCAATAAGGAGTGCGATAATTGAACACCTGGTTGACACTGATCATTCCATCTCAACAAACGCTTCCTGCTTCAAAGTAATCTACAGAGTCAAGGATAACCTATCGAAGGCAATACGGTTTCGTTTTCTTTGTATCGCTGAATCTCTCGCCGTTCACATAGAAAAATTGGAGCTGTGCATACAAAAGAGGATTACTCAACCACTTCTACTGTCATAGTAACAACATTTTATTTTTTATTTTGATGACTTCATTTTTTTTTCTTTGCCTGTTCTTTCACTGCTTATAATTCTTGTATTCATTCAGAACTCTTACGTAATTTCGTATTATCTACTTTGTTCCTATGTGCTTACTGAGTAAAACTCACTCATCAAACTATTCATATTATTACATAACTTCTTTCTAACAGCTGTTTGCGACAACTCATCACCTTTGTTACTACCCTAATTTCATTAACACCTAATTTTCGTGGATTGTATTAACAATCTTCACCTGTTTAGTTAAAATAACTATAACCAATTGTAATTTTGTTTGACAAACTTAATGTACATATACATACAAAATAGCACATATATATTTGCGATTGTACAGCTATGAAAATGAATTCGCCGAAAAGAGACTTTTCGTTGATCTACGTGTTTTGTTTTCATTAATCATTCCACGCTTAGCTAAATTCCTATGCTCCAATGACCTAGCTAGACACAATGTACTGGTCTGACCTATGCAATTGACCTCACAGGCACTTCAAAGTATTTTGTAGATAAAATTATGTCGAATAAATTGAGTCAGTAGGGTCATTTAACCTACAGATCTTAGCCCTAAGTGAGTTTGTAGATTTAAACGCCACCCTAATTCCAGCTTTATTTAAGAATTCTACGTAAGGTTTCAGATGTTCCATCTGATTTATGTCGCGCATGATAGTTTCACCCTTATATTATTAGTGAAACTCGAAAAATAATACAATTACATGGAGGAAGAGGTGGGATTACCGAATGTCTGCTTATTAAATCAATAATTAGCAAGTGCAAATCTATGGGAAAAATATTACTACCAATGAAATCAAAGGATACGAAATAATGGAATTTTATAAATGAAGTTTAAAAGTTATATGAACGCCTTGATATGATTATGAGTAACAAAATGAGCTCGAAACATGATCAGTACATAACACGGTACTAATCAGTGTGTTTTCATCAAGCAGAATTACTATATGATAGAATTACACTTTACTACAGTGCCTAAATTCTATTCGTAAATTAATTCCTTCAACATAGTGTGATTTTCATTCTTCTCGCTACAAATCCATTAAGAATAATAATAATAATAATGACTACTTACCTGATTCTCTTTGGTTCTTCTTCCATATCCTCAATATAATTTACAATTTCGTTGACTAACTTTTCACTCATTATCTCGAAACCACCAAATGTATCCTGCTGATTACATTCAGACATAAGAAATTGTAAACGACAGTCTGGTAGGGCCAATTGAAGATAAACACGGACAAGACGCAGATCACAGGAGTTACCTAAAGCAAAAAGGAATATATGTACAAAATATCTAATTAGAGCATCAATTTGAATATTGAGTATTCTTCATTTAACTCTGATTACACCACTGGACAGATATAAGTTACCGCGTATAGAGATAGTTATGCTTGGATGCACTGTCAAGGAAAATATCTAATGCACTGGAAGGTGTGAACAGAAAATCTAATTTGTAACAGAAATGGAGCTAGTCTCCGGCATGTCGTTCGACCGACTGAGCTGACAGGATCCGGGATGAAAGATATCATCGTTCACGCTTTTGTTTTAACTTCACACACTATCAGAAAACGCTAGAATATGGTAACCACATTCATTTCCTCTCTACGTATGTTAACGTAAGCTAAATATTTATCAGTCAGGATGTGACATTTGTATGATGCATAAGCTACACTGGAGTCCATTTCACCTACTATCAGTTTCTGCTGACGATATTGATGTCTCGCTGTTCTGTGAATCTTAAGTAAGCCACTCATCATCTTCTAGGAAATATAACTACAAAATTTGAAATAAAGCATCAATATGAACACCTCTTGAAACTAAAATCTTGAGTGACTGCATCTCAACGTAGGACTTTGCACACAAATGGGGCAATTCGAGTTGCTGCATTTCATAGAGCAGACAAAGGTAGAGGAAAAAAATTCCAAAAAGAACTACAATGAACAGAAACATACGGGAGAAAAAATAATTACAAGGAGAAGCGTAAGAACGTGGTGGATGTGGAAGATTTTAAGAAGTGAATGCATCTGTACCACATTGGGAACAATTTCGATAGATATCACCAACAATCCTACAACCATTATTTGTCAGTTTTGACAACTCCAGCCAGGAAGTCAGCACTTCACTACGTGGCTCAAACTAACAGACAAGAAATTCATGAATTGGTATAATATTTAGGTTTGAGTAGTTCTGACTCTATTCCAACCCAATCTCCTATGTAAGCTTACATTACTCAAAAAGGGAGGAGATGAGTATAACATGGGTTACGGACATCTCGATTGATGTAGCTTCGCAGCCTCATCGATTGACTTGGCCTCCTTCCCTAACACTTTATCCCTAACCTAAATATTACTCACTATATAATACCGTTTAACACGGGTGAACTTCAAATTCACTAATAAACAATTATGAATAGGAAGAAAAAGAAGGAATTTCGTATACTAACAACAATAACAATGAATGGTAAGGAAACGATAAACTCTCAGCGCTACATCTATGTATACTAAGGATTCCATTTCCTACTTGAATCAAAACTACAATTATCTGAGAGTAAAATAACCACTTAATCAACTATAACATTATAATTTTGAATTTACACATGTTGTTTTCCTTCAAATCTTATGAGAACAGTGTAAGTTCTGAATGTGCAAAACTAATCCATATTTGAAAAGATTGCATGAGTTGAGAAAATCATAAGTATGACGAAAGCTGAATATCAATCACCAAAGGGCATAAAGAGGTACCTAACTTGTCATATGCTCTGATGGTGTTCTCGTGACTTTTGTTGCCAGATTTGCCCACGGGAGATGGGATAGTACCCGACCTAATGGTTGTGTGCAAGGTTTGAAGAAGGCTGTGTGCTATATGCATGCGCCTCGCCCTGATAATGCTTTTGTGCGTCGGTGGCATAGCGGTTAGGACGTTCACCGACCATTCCCATGGTCCGAGGTTCGACCCCCGGCCGATGCACTCCTTTACCTCGCTAAGTCAACAGTAAGACTGGTAAGGGGGAAGGTTGAGCATGAGGCCAGCAAACCCCATCTCGTAAAAACAAACACTACTGCTACCAAAACTTCAAGCCTCTAACCTAAAGCCCTATGTTGCACTGGGAACGTAAAGGAATAAAAAAGGGCATAAGAATTAAGAAGATTAGCAGGTTGGTTGACCAGTACGTAAAAAAAACATAATTTTTAATACAGTATAACTACTAGTGGCACACAGAAGAAGAAAAAGAAGTGTAGGGTAACTAATCATGTGAACAAAAAGCACGACAATGGACAGAAAGGGAGATAGAGAGAAACAGACGAAAAGCTGGTGCATAAAATGTCATCAAAGACAATATACTGAGACAGGTAGCTCCTGTAGTAGATGCAAATCCACATTCACCGAACCCACAGCAACAGCTTCTACAAACAAGCTACAGAAGTGCAATTTCCTACAAATTCTCTCTCACCTCGTAGATAATTATGAAGTTGTAATGCTCTAACGAGAACAGACAGCTCGAATATTGGAACTGCTATTGAAAAGCAGCTTCAACGATGAGATTACTTACCAGCAAAACAGATCAGAATGACATAACTTCTTTACCTAGTCTACTATTGGCTGTTGTTTTATGTCAAGCATGGATAATAGCAGTCTTAAGTCAATCATTGTAATCTAAAATATGTCCTAAGGGCTTTCTGTAGCTCAAACTCCTTAATTAAATTCCAACTTCAAGTTGAAAATGAATCAAAGATTCCATTTTCGAACGTAGAAGTAACATTTTGTCGTCTTGCCTATGTTAGTCAGTGTACTATAAATTCACTGTCTTTCATAAAAGTCAATGCAGGTGACTATCACAATGAAACTAACCCAGGTAATCTTAGAAATTGATTAATTAGCGAAGTCTGATTGAGCAGAAACTGCCGAGAAGTTTTTATAAAACCACGAGCAGTGGTGTGTAACAAGAGAAAATGAAATGGTAACACATGTCAACTGTTCGGTTTCACTACAAAGATAAGTCACATGAATACAACGATATGTAGAGTGATCTTTGGAGACAACCTTTCCCCACATGTGATGTTCACTGACTTAAGATTAGGTTGAAAATAATTACTGGTGGACAAGAAGACACTGTGTTTCTTTTTTTTGAGTTTTGCAGATGCTACGAAGCAATGGCTGAACATTTTTCACAGCAATGTAGATTTAACTCTTTCCTGTTACACTATGATTTCTTCATTCTAACACCATTTTATTGCTGCTGATCTTTATTTTAAGGTGAGAACCAACTGGAAATGATAAAATAATGCGGAAACTTATACCTTAGTGTGCCTGTCTGTAAGTCAACTTGAAGAAAAACTACTAGTATTATTCTAGCTGGTACTTTAAATTAGTCTTTTACATTACTAAAGCTATAATCCCAATAGAGAACTATTTGAAAATAAATTTATTTCGGGTATACCAGAACTTACCGTCTAGTCCATGAACACAAATAATAAGGTGGACATCTTCGTTAAATATCGGAGCGTCTGAGAAATAAGCATAGGGAGCTGCCAGTGTAGCGAAATCACTATAAACATGACCCTGGAAGTGTGGAGCAATCTCTCGTTTGACTTGTTCTTTAAGACGTAGAAATTCCATTACACCAGGTGATAAAATATCTAACAGAGACTGATATTTATCAGTCTCTAGATGATTACCACCACCAACACCGCCATTCAGTGTGTTTTTGTAACCATTATTTTCTTTGTATGGTAGTACAGATTGATGGACTGGGCAACTATTATTCTTTTTCGGTGACTTCTGACAAATTAAGGATTGATTTAACACATTATTAGGACCACTCTGTATAAGAAGAGAAAGATGCACATTCTAGAAAATATACTTTTTGAAATATGGGTTAAATTTCAAAGTGTGTGTATAGTACGATTAGTTAACTGATCCATTCTGTACAATGACCAACGTACTACGTCATGAGTCAAGCACAAATTTTACTTAGCATTAAACAGAGAGACGACGATAGAGACAACAATATCATTTTTTTTTTCATACATTTGGAATTACAAAAAGGCTTTACAATAAACTGTGAATAGTTGCTCGCTTCAAAACTGATAGAATACACGGGTCTAAGCCAGTCGTTCATTTCATAAACCACTGAAGCAATACTGTACAACATGTGTGTATATTTACCAAATATAAACATTCATTGGTTAACACAGAACAGTCTTGATGATAACGGAGGAGAGTCGTATCATCATAGTTAACAAGTACAAGAAATTTATGCTAGTGATCAATAATAACATTAGGAAGAAAAATATAAACACTAAATAATTAACACCGTCTTTCTGCCTGTTTTCGACATAGAACTTTGCACCGATGTGCGGCAGTTCAAGTCATCACACTCCATGTAGCATACAAAGCAAGTGAAGAAGGTAGAAGAAATGCATAATAGAGACAGTAAACAGAGGTGTGAGACAAAGAAATAGAAGTAACGAAGAACAATGTAGTTTCATCGAAAATCATAGGTTACAAGGAGTGGATGCATCTGCGCTGGCTATTGAGATAGATTTTGAGCCATATCACCAATTTTGTCCAACCATTGGTTTTTACCGTCCCAAAGACCCCAACCCGGAAGTTTACACCTTCCTACGTGGCTTAGACTAACTGTTGTAGATTTCATCGACTGGTACCATGTTTTTGTTTGACCGCCGCCAGCTCTTTTCCAGCCTGACCCTATGTCAGCTAACACTGTCCGTCGAGAAAGGCGATTACTGAAGTCACATAAGTATATTACTGTTGTCCACCTCTGTTATATACGAAGAGCATTCCAGATATCTATTTTTGCCCAACACAAATAACCGAATACTGGTGAGTTTACCAAAGTCGCAAAGACTTTAGGTTCAAGTTAGTGGATTCTACAATACGCTAAGTGCTGATACAGTCATCTAGTCTGTCAATGAAACATATAAAGCGCCAACGAATGCGAACAACAACAACAACAATTATCCTTATCATAGGCTAAAAGCCTTCTTTACTTTTGCTGAATACTGAAGTAGCATCCCAGTTCCACAACATAAAGCCAAAGAGTTGGCAATTTTTCAACACTAACCGACTGAGACCAGTTTACTGCAATGCCAAACACTGTGCGTCGGTGGCACAGTGGTTAGGACTCTCGCCGACCATGCACATGGTCCGGGGTTCGAGCCCACGCCGGCGCACACGTGATATCTATGGTCGGCCTGCAAAATTTGGGCTACCGATATCCACGCTGAAAATTCCATACTTGTACCAAAAATACAGTGTGGAATCAAGCTGTAAATAAAAAATAAAAAAATAAATGAATAAAAGTCATACAGAGTGTTTCAAGTTTATTCATATACGCCTGTACATTTACTTTTATTGTTTTTTTTTGTACACTGATACAAACAGGACGAAATGCGCGTTCCCTGGATTCCACTGCTAGTCACCATCCACCAAATAAATTCTGATGCCAGGTGTTTAACCGAAATCCCGTGATCTTTGGCAATCATTATCAAACTGGAAGATTTACGCATAAAACTCAATTTCGAAGTCATAAACCGTCATGCTATTCATCAGATCACTAGTGACCCTTTGTAGGATTAAAACAGCGAACAAATAAATCTGTCGTTAGACTGTGAAAATCACATTTGTTTTGTAATCTATACTCTGTGATCACCTCTCAGTTGGGGCTTCGGAAGTAATTATATAATTCAAGCTCGTATATAGTCGATAGCTGCATTTAGGTTGAGCACATACCACCCCTCGAATACATAAACATCTTAAGATTTTTGTCCTAGTAATTGAATAGTATTGTGTTAGTATCATTTGAATATTAAAAAAATATACATAGATAGGACAATTGGTTTTGTATACAAGGCAAAAATCAACCACCAAACATTGATGCAATGTAATGTCTCGAAATTTAATTATCTCTTCATCTACTTAACAATACACATATGTGTGTACATCTCGAAACTAAAGTGGACTAGACAAGTTATTATAGAATATACAATAGAAAAAATTCGTCTTAATAGACATTTAGATTATTGATTATTATCAAAGATAACTCCTATCAGAACTACGGTTGGACAATAAACAGAATTCTTAAACAAATGTTCACCAACATACCAACAAACATACATATACAATTGCGAAGCGATCTCTGTCTATGAACCCTTTAAATAGATACATCACAGATTTAGTTCATAATTGTCAGTTTATCATACATAATAAGACTGTGTACTATGATTTTTAGTCTACAAAAATATAATGACATAATAATATGATTCATTTGCATAGACCACAGACTACCTCTAGCACACACACACACACAAATACTCCACGGATGAACTTAATCAGATAATATAGAGAAGAAAGGGTGATAAATTGTCACTTGTATTACATATGTGTATATATAGGTCATTTGAATTGCAAATTTCGTAACCTCGTTTACAACCAGTAGACATACACACACTGCGGTGCAAATATTGTAGTCTGAGGATTCAGTTATCAGAAGACCTTAGATTTAGATTTCATTTTCGACAAGAACGAAGTGTGAATTCACAGAGCATATAATATAAGCTATATCACATAATGTTTACTTCTTAGTGAAAACCTTATTGTAATAAGCAGGTTTGCTATCCGATCGCTACCGTCAGTGAGCTGTGACTAATCCACAAAAGCATATCCATCTGAGTTGCGACGGTTCGAAACAGCAGATCAAGAGGTAAGAAAGACTCAGGATGAAGATCACAGAATATAAGAACACGTAACTTGTCTTAATAGTTATAAATCAGTGAACATCACCTGTTGAGGGAAGTGGTTATTCAGTATGCACGACACATGTGTCAGTCACTTCACTCAGTGAAAATCTACTACCTCATAGACTATTGATGGCATAGTTCATAATCGTCCTCGGTGGCGCAGATGCATTCACTATTTGTCATCTCCCATATCCATTAAACCCTCATGCCCTTTCAATGTTACTGTTGTTTCTCCTACAGATTTCTGATTATTCTGATTACAGTTCTTTTGAGTCGGTTTTCTCTCTCTTTTGTTCACCCTGTGTGCCACAGGGTGTGTGACAGCTTGAACTGCTGAGCTTTAATGCAAACTTATACGCTGGTAATTCTTCACCCAGCAGTTTACATCTCATATTAAAACCTTATACCAGGTGGCTCCACTTGACGTGAGCATCTGTGCCTAACCTGTAAGTTTGTTTAGGCTAGTTTTGTAAGATCATTTTAAATGACAAGGATAAGGTGTGTGCTCATATAGTCAACGACATTTAGTTTTTTGACATCGTTTCCCTTCAAGCGGTCAATCAGGTATTTAACCATTAAGAGGTGCATTTTTGAAATGTACAAGTTCGACAACATCATCTCCTTTGGTATATGTGTAGTTAAATGAGGCTTGAAAAAAGCTTGAATGATAAGGAAGAAAGGAGAGTGACATCGGAAAAACACTTACACAATTTGTAGCTGACGTCTTTGCACCATTACGTTCTGCTTCATTGTTCAACATTTCCAAAATACTCAGCTTTGGTGAATTCTTTCTGGCTATATCTTCATCGCTGCTTAAAATATCCGGGATCTGATAACCACATTCCTTCAATCTCTTATCGTGTACAGAATCTGTAGGCAAGGGTATTTGATTATTGGCACGAGAAGCACTATCTATTTCCTCATCACCTTCCAAATGTACAGACGATGAGTGTGAACAATCAGAACTATTACTTGACCGTTTATTGGAACAAGTATCAACAACATTACTGCCTTGAGTCCCGTTCAAATGTTTTGACTTTTTATCATTACTAGAATTATCAACACACAAACAATCATATGATATTGTACCATTTTCTGAAGTCGATCCATATGGATAACTACCACCAATAGTTAGGGATTTCGGCCACTGATATTTACCGTTAAAACTAGTGGTGATATTAGTAGAAGGAAAGGAAGTAGAAGTAACTGGAGTGGTCATATACCTCTTATCATCACAACTACAAGTCATACTTATTTGGGAATCTTCAGATACTTTTGATTTCCTGTTTTGTTTCTTGTGATTTCGTACACTGTTACACTGATGGTTAGTTCCACTAGTAGGCCAACAATGAGACAACAGATAACGATTGGCATTATTCTGTTGTGTACAGCCAAATATATCGATTGTTGATAATGACGATGAGATGGAATGCATATCTATATTTGACTCTTCTTTATTTGATAACAATGTGCTCGACTTTGTAAGTCGTTTTCTCTCTTGCATTAGTGAGGTTGTCAGTGACGGATGGAGAACAGCATTCAATGAATGATTCCTCAGTCGCACACAATTTGATGATTTGAGTTCATCTTCTAAAGCAGCGATTTGTAAATCTGAACAGCTGCCTAAATATGCTAGACTGGGAATTAAATTTGTTCATGAAAACAAGAAGTGAGGTTTTTAAAAATAATAATAGTTATAATAATAATAAATTATACACGATACTGTTATTTTCAAGTGAGATACTACATTTTCTGAGTAAAAGCCTGAAAGATCTGTTAACGTGTTCTCCAGTAGTTGATACGTTATACTGAGCGTCTGATGTAGTGGGTTAAATGGTGACGTATCAACGCCCACTAGAATATTCAGAAAAGGTGAAGCTATTTTCATTTTCTTCCCGAGCTACAGTTTCAGAAGTTATAACAACTGAAGATTTGTAGCTTTGATGTAAGCATAATCTTAAGTCGGTTAATCTCTAATGTTGACATGAGTATCTTTTTTTATTTCAGTCTGTCCTGTGTCCTGCAGATTTTCTTTTTGTTGAAACAATCTGGACTGAAGCTACCTAGTGCATCTGAATCTATCCTTAGATAGACAACACGAAACTGTATATCATTAGATGGACAATTTCCTTTGAAAACATAGCATTTCCTGGAGTGCTAGTGAGAAGCCGTGACTGGTAAGGTCCACTAAGACGGGTATAAACAATCGTAATCACCTGACTGACAAAGTTTCCAACGCAAATCTTTGCGCAAAAATCCAGCAGTTTAAGTCGACACACTCTGCAAAGCACACAAAGGTAGCAAAAAAAGGAAACGCATGTGCAACGTGTCCTAGTTAGATATAGTCTCACCTTATCGATTCAGCTTTACCTTTTTACCTAATACTCTGCGCCGAGCCACAATATTTCTAACTATATTGTACCACTTAAACACGGAGTATAGAACGCAAACATCTGGGGTCAAACAAAACTAGTTTCTTCATATCTCCCACTTTTGACGGTTATTTCTCACAGGTGTAAAGAACGGCAGAGCGAACTGCTGAGCAATATACACATCCTTTAGTCGACAGTCGGATAACACGTCTAAACCAGAGATGATGTATGTTGGAAAGTACCGCACAACCTTTTCCATCCGTGCAGCAACTTTGTCAATCACTCCACTATGACTAACAGGGCTTTCCGCATAACTGAAGTGGTCAATACATTATTCCACTTCAATACCTATATTTAAGCTAGGAGTCAGTGTACTCCACTCTCCCAGAAACATCTTCCATTTAACAGGAGTGGGTCGCATGCTAAACAATCGATGATTTCTGCTTAAGATGTTGAGAAAACACCAACAGGGGGATAGTATCATCCGCATACTTGAAGTTGATAAGACTCTTCCTTTGTCAAGTCAATCCCCAAGTCAGATTCATTCACATTGGTACATCTATGATAAAATTAAACAGAAATGATGACATCAGATATTTTTAATGAACACTGCCGGTTGTCATCCCTTCAGATGACATCTAACCGTAAGCTCTTACACAGCTGTGTGATTTCGCATAGGGTGTGTTGATTAGAGCGATAAACTTTCTCAGCGCTTTCATTCAAGGTCAAATACTGTTGCAGCACCTCTTGGTGGATGGAATTGAATACCAACTTCAGGTCAAGAAATATGGAACCAATACTTGAATAACAGCGAGATGCTCACTGGCGACTGGGCCCTATTCAGGTAGGTAGTTACCTGGGGTTCCCCAGTGGGAAGTTGTGACCAGTAGGGTGCACAGGTCTGGTGTGAGGACAAATACTCGCCGAAGACATTGGCTAGCCGTTGCGCTACATATATATCGTGAATTGGCAGAAGTTATAATTCAAGGATCATTTGATCGGGTCCCAGTGGCTTAATGGTACACGAACTCGCCTTGTAACTAGAAGGTCCTGGGTCGAACCCCGCGGTGTGGGTGAGTACTGCTGAAGAGTCCCAAACTAGGACGAAAGGGCTGTCTAGTACTCCTAGGTTTTCCAATGGTTCTCTAACCAATGTCAGTTCATGATGAAATCCTGTAACCAATATGGAAAGTATTGAAAGCTGGTAATTATGTTTATGTTCCAGAATCTAATAGAGAGTGAAGATATGATAAATGCATCCTCATCCTGTCTGGCTTTCAGAGGTCTACACTAAGAAAAAGGAGAAGAGAATACTAACTAGTGGGACGGTAACAACAAAAACAAAAACAAAGAAAGCTTACTCTGCAGTGTAGGTTTTTAACTGATTGCTTTGTGATTTCCTGCAATGCGAAAAAATAGAGAGAAAGCAAAATGAATTATATACACACGAGAAGCAGTTGTTAAATTAGACTTTAGTGCGTTATTGTCGTCATCAATAAATACCACTAGACAAGCTAACAGATTGGCACATCACTCTTCAAACTATGAGTTTCTTGGGGCTCTCAACACCCGTTTAGTCGTCAGTATGAATGTTTCTTATCGATGAAGCAAAATATGAAAGTATGACGGCGATCAGTAATTATTGCATTCAAGAATTAGCGACAATTATTGCTCAAGCGAGTCTTAGTCAGCCTAGAGCTAATTTATTACAGAAGTCTACCTGTATTATTATTATTGCTCCCTTGGGTTCCTAGTAGAACATAGGGCTTCAACTGCACGTCTCCACTTGCTTCTGTCTACCTGTACTAGCGACCATTTCACTTTCCCTAAGGTGAGTAAAATTCTTAAAGATGTTTACTGGGAGAATTGTTCATTTAATTCGAGAACAGTTTGTAGAAACATATCTGCAAGATCATTAAAGAAGGAAAATATAAAAGGAAGAAACGAACGTAAAGTCAAATAAAAATCCTTAAAAAACCTTGGTGGAATCTGTAGATAAAAAAAGTGTGACCCGAACAACTTTACCGGATTCCTTTAATGAACTATAATCAACGACACTTCGTTCAGATGGGAGTGTTGATCTAATTCTAAGTTTTCGTGAGTTAATTTGTTACTTTGTGGTAGGCTGAACTAATCTTAGATGCACTCTTGCAACATACACCTTGAGAAGTGAAGGAGACAGTCGAAATGTTCAGAACTACTACTCAATGACTTTTATATTCAAATGTTTGTCATATATATTAGGTCCTTACTCAGGGTGTCCTTGTGGTTGTCAGCATCCACACAATAACACTACACTGCCACAAGCTTATACATTAAAATTACTTCACCTCTTTAGACTAACGGAAAATACCACTACTTTGATACAGAAACTAAGCGGTGCGCTTAAAAACATTGGTGCATTAAAAGAGTGAAACATGTGAAACAATTAAAGCAAAGCTGAAAATGAAAATACCTGCCACTAGATACATGACTCCTTCTCAGATTAAGAACTTTTACACGTCTTCGAGATTTACTCCAAGAGAATTGGTCCACTGAAGAAATTTTCGTAAGACAACCTTCCGAAACAACACGTGGAACAGTGCAAGAAAGAGGAATGCTTGGTAAAGAAACAAAACTTCCACCAAGACGAGATTTGTAAAAATGGTCGGATGGTAGTAGGGAATCTGCTTCTTTAGTGAGGTGGGCTGGTGGTACACACCCACCGGGCGGTTGTAAAGGAGCTATTTTCAATGTTCCTAAGGCTACAACTTCGTGCAATTGACGAGGGAATGATTCCATATATATAGTGTTTGACTTAGCACTAGTGAGAATTGAAGTCTTTGAGCTGTTATTTGTACATGGAGTGAAAGTATTCCATTTAGACGTTGGACGATCTTTGTTTACTGAACACCTAATTGATGACATATCTGTGGATTCGCTTGAAATGTTTAGGAGAGATAACGAAGCTGATTTCAATGTATTCTTGCTTGAAGTCGCACCGACTTCCGAATGTAAAGGTTTTATTCTAGGTGAGTTAGCTGACAAATTGTACAGGGAGCGCGAACGAATACTGAAATAGGATAAAACAGCAAATCGGCATAACTGTATTGATAGTCAATCTATAAATACAGCATTATTATTGACAATAATTCATAAATACACTGTTCACCCGCCTTTTATATATAAACAAACAAATAAACTAACAGGATTAGATGAGCATTTGCAGAAAAACAAAAGTAATAAAGATTCGTTACAGTGTCATAAATTTCTCTGGAAGTTAAAAATATTAATATACATTTAGAGTTTAGTATAAACTACAATTCCCCCTCCCCCCTACAAAGTTGCTCTTAGTAGGACATCTACAATGACAGTGAAAGCATGCCCACTCGGGTCTATTCTCATACCTTATCTATCTCAAAAATGACCCATATTTTATAATATTTAAATATCTGACATTCCAGTATTACAGACATTTAAACTGATATGTTATCTGTTATCATACAGAAGTACCATGTGGTAGAAGGTTGTTGGACATGGGTATTATATACAGTGGTGGTACAACTGTTGTCAGTTTCCTTCTTCAGATAAACAGTAGTCGCACGATCGTAGCAGTGGTCATGTATCAATTGTGCTTTTACAACTATATACTAGTATGCTGAATCTGGTTCTGCTAGAATTCAAATGTGAACATAGGTCGAAGCCTTCACCATAAAATGCTCAGTAATGAAGTCTATATCCAATGAGAGAGTATGAATTCCCTCAAGAAGACTGATATGCCGCGCTAATTAACATCAAGAAGCTTACATATGCAGTTTTTGACTGAATGTATTTTTCAGGTCTATTAAATAACAAGATATCAGCCGAAATAACAACACTAAATAGTTTGAATTGTAAGAACAAGCTTAGTTATATAAGTGTAGTATTTAGTACTGTGATCTGTACCAAACTTAAGAGACCTAATTTCCCTTAATGCTTTCAAACATAAGCAGTATAAATGATATTTTACTTTTGCACATTATTTTCCCCCTTATATTTCTCCGGGACGTAGACATTTCTACGTAGGTTGTTCTGTGGTAGAATGCTTACGTCACATAGGAGTTCCCGGTTCCATTCCAGATAGATTTACCAGATTTACTAACCGATCTTAAGCCTGGGAGAGAAAACTCCCACCACAGAAACTTCAACGCTTCAAGCCTACGTTTCGCTTCTTACGAAAGGAATTATTTTTTATATATATATTTTTGATTACAGTTTGATTCCACACCGTATATTCGGTACAAGTATGGAATTCTCAGCATGCGATATAGGTAGCCCGAATTTTGCAGTCCCACCAATGATATCAGGTGTGCACCGGCAGGGGATCGAACCCCGGACCATGTACATGTTCGACGAGAGTCCTAACCACTGTGCCACCGACGCACTTCAAATAAAATTTTTTGAGGTGAATGAGGCAGTCAACACTTCAAAAGAAAAATCCAATATACAAGGTTATATATCACAGAAAACAGAGTAGGAATTCTCTAACTTACTCCCGTATAGCGAGAACAGGTCGACGAACAGTAGCTGCCATTGAACTAGCAGAATGATTTGCATCTAGTTGGAGATTCAAAGAGGATTCAGTTAATCTAGGTCTACTATCGAGAAAACCAGAATCACGATCGATATGATTATCCAAAGGTCGAATGGAACGATATCCAACTAATTTAATTTTTGAATTATCATCGTTGAAATGTTGTAGAGCAGAGGATCCATGCGATTTATCAAAATAGTGGAATTTCCGACTGTGATTACCAGGTGGATAGAATTTACGCCTAGATTGACAATTGTTGAAATGATTTGTTGTCGGTGTAGTCACTGTGGTTAGTGGTGGCTTGAACACTGATTTACTTGATACTGGTGTATGTCGTACTGGTAATGATACGAGGTTGGGACTTGAATGAGAAATGGCATTTGTTTGATAAGCTAACAGATTCGGTACTGTTGAAGGGTACAAATAATTGCCTAAAACTGGTCGTTTTGTTTTTTTGTCTAAAATAAGGAAAACATATGCGTATAATGGCACAGCGTAAAACATAATATTTGTGGTCGTTACAATAAAGGCCACTTGTGCGGCGGATACATTTTCTAACATAGAATAACAGATTAGCTATGGGGTGTCAAAATAAATAGTCGTATTTGTGTGACAAACGCCGTGTTAGGCTGAAATCGATTACAAAATATTTCGGTAAAATGGGAGACAATGGTGGTGATTAGTCATAATAGATTTGTAGAGTGTGGGGTAGGAAAACTGACAAGTCAGTCAGTTGAAGGTTATAAAAGGTGTCAGGTGAGTGGAGTGGCTAGTACAAAGTGGTCTGTATTAAACAGGAGATGGTAGGATTGCAATGAGAGGTTCATGAGATAACGAATATGTTAAATGAAACAGGTGGAGGCACATATTGAGAAAACAGATAATATCACTAATAATAATTCCGTATAAATGAAACATTCTGTAGTATTAAGGGAATGTTTGCATAAAGGTCATGAATTATTACGAATAATAATGACTGTAATAATAATATTTATAATAATAAGCAAAGTAAAAAAGAAAAAAAACCAAGAGGGATAAGGGGAAGGAGTGCTCTTAGTGAGAAGAAAAATCTTCAATTCAAGGTTGGACACGGTAGGAACAGCGTCTGGACGTGTTCTTTTTGGATACAAAGTTCCGGTTTAGTCTATCTCATGGCAACAGCTTCAGTTATGTGTAGGAGACGTAAGCGAACTGTACGTGATAACGACTTCGGAATTCGGTATATAACCCTGAAAGCTGTGTTGACATCGATGTGATGTCCAGTATCGACCAAGTGTGGCAGGATCGAGCTTTTTATGCACTTAATTTCCCCCCTGCTGAACCAAGCTGGTAAGTGTTCTCAAACCCGTAAACGAACCTGCTTAATCGTGCGCCCTACATAACTTGAACCACAGGAACAGTTGAAATGGTATATGCATGAAGAAGAGCTAAGGTTAGGTAAGACATCTTTGAGTTGCTGGGTGAACATTGGACGGCTAGTGAAGGATAGACACAGACGTGCAGAGTAGAAAGTTCTCTTGATCGCCCTGGTTAAACGTTGGGATAGAATCTCCGCAGGAGTATCCCCCTTGAATTGGAGACGTAAAAACAAAGGCTTTTCTCCACAGTTGCCAGTTTATGTTTACGACTATTATAAACTGTGTTGGCTTTAATGAACTTCTCTGGATATCCGCCGCATACCTGGCTATCTTTATTGTAACGACCACAAATATTATATTTTATAATTGTAAGAACCTGAAGAGAAATTATTGAAAAGAATATTCTTCGTTCAGATTGACTTTTAATTCATAATATGGGAATATTTCACACCATCAAATCTTATAGCGTAAAACGCTAAATACGGGTATATATGAAATTTATTACAACCAGTCAGTAAAAAATAGGAAGAAATTACAAACAAAGATGATCTAGATGGGAAAAAGAATGTATTCAGCAATTCTGATGAAAAAATGAAACGGTACCATTTATTTCGACCATTGATAAATAAATAAAAAACAGTCCGGATTAGAATTAGGAGTTACTCTGTAAATTGAAGATGAAATTAGCCGTGGAAACAGATAGATAAGCAGAGAAGGACAGAAAAAGAGAGAGAGATCATTGTTTTAGTCGTCTCTCTGTTAATCAATGTAACTCAAAAAGCCTATATATGACAAAAAAACAAAACAAATACAGGCTTAGAGATGTAAAATTGCCGACGCCTCTGAATAGCAAGCATTTAGATGGAAGCACAAAAGAAAATAAGGCGTTTAAAATGTACCATGTAAAAGACAGACTAGTTTGGAAGCTAATATATTGTATTGACAAAAGCAAAATGAATTAATTTAACCGGTCTAGTCTCTTTATTCCCAGTTTACTAAATCTTTTTTTTTTACTATTATTCATGTCTCTGTCCCCCTTGGGAAAAAAACAAAGTGATGTAGAAAAATTAGTGGCGCATGAAAAAGAAGCGCAAGACCGAGAAATGTGAATTCGAGAAACTGAAACACTGTAGCGAAAAGTAAAGACAATTCAGTAAAATTCACTGTAAGGCGAATCACATTTTTCGGCATTTAATAATGAATGCACAGTTGTATTACAACCGGTGGTGTTAGCTTCCTACTTTATTCATACATAATAGCCATAGCCTATCCTGCAGCTAGGTTCGTTCTCGTCTATCGAAAAACTTGCTCTTTGATGCACTCAAAAATCTATAGATATCCTTCTCATGTTAACTCCAACTGTATATACAAATTTACATGTATTTGCGGGAGCAAAGAAAGGCATATCTACGATTTTCTGAACATTTACCAAAAAGCTTACGTCTAAAGGGAACAAATGCTTTAAACAGTGCCATCGCCAGGCATCTCCTCGACACGGGTCACGAGGTGGACATCGAAAAGTCGTTTAAAATTATCAATAAGCAAAAGAACTCAATTCTCCTTAAGTTTGCTGAAGCCATTTCCGTTAAGCGCCTGAAACCTGATTTATGCGTCCGGAAAGAAGCGGTTATCAGTCTTTCTTTGCCTTGGTAACTGAATATTTCTCATCTCTCTATCATCCGAATGTGAAATGCTGAAAAGTTTCCATTGTGTATGATTATTATTGTTCAGAGTAGTGTTTAATATGACATATATATATATAATTAGCGTATGCGTATACTGATCGATTGATTTTTGCTTAAAATGAACTCTGTGCAAGTATGTTAAAATTGTTTTCAAGCTGAATGTAGATTGGCTTTTTACCCACTGTGATTTGTTAAAATTGTTTTTGTAGATATATTTAATAATGTCTTAGGCCTGTAAGCAGTTGACGAGAAGGCGACGAAATAAAAGATGATACCATTTTATTCTGCTAAAACTGTAATTCTTGCTTTGTTTATACTTTTTTTCTGAAAGGATGACAACATGTATAGTTTAAGTATACTTTCGGAGGAACACTAACGAATATAATTCGAATATGTTTGCCATAAATGGGTTAGACAGTCAATAAATTATTCTTCTCAATCAGAATTATTACAGACTATCCTCCGATTCGACTTTTAAACATTCACTTGTATAATGCAGAGAGCTGTAAGTCTTTTTCATTAGACATTTGACCACTTTTTAAATACAATCATAAAAGTGGTTATTATCACACTTATTGAAATTTAGAAAAAAAAGGTACTTATTGTGATATAGTTAATTGGATAGAACATGCACGTGTATAGGGTTGTTTAAGTGCACCATTATGAGATTGTTTTACGAAATACTTTATCGGATGCTAACGACTAACATGTATTAAATTTACCTCACACAACTTGCTAATCAGAGGAAATAAATTAAAGAAATGTTAAAGACCTTCTGTTATTCAAACTTCTTTGTGATGGAATAATCAGTTAACAACTATCATTTTTTTTAAAATAGAGACACTTTTTTCAGTATCTGACGCTACTGGGTTCCTTTGGGTCTATAAAGGTTTTTGTAACTTGTCTTATCTTCAGAGTTTTGAAAGGTTTACTATCGTAGTCCAATTATCTTCTTGCCCGTTGCATAAATCCTTCTGCTTTCATCGTGATATGCTTGACTGTTTTTGTGTGTGTGTGTGGGGGGGGGGGGAACTGGGAAAGACGCTAGCCTAATTAAAGATACTTGTTTACAATATTCCAAAAGGACAAGGTTGGATACAATAGATTGTATATAACATTTAAAATCCAAAACGGCTGCTGACACACACCTAAATGAGTCCAGTCACTTTTTATACCAAAACAAAGGAACACAAAAATACCACTACGTTTCATAATGATTGACCTAAATAGCAAAAGTTGAATAAATATTATGCGTATACATAATAAACAGAAAAGGCAATAATGAGGTAAAACAAACAAAACCATGACAACAACTAATAAACACTTGTTAGTTAATGTAGACAACGATGGTTATCATAAGATAAGTGGTGTGTAATTTGGCATGAAGACAACCTACTGAATCGATAGATTTTGCTATCCCAAAGCAAAATAAGTTTACCAGGGATGCATTACTTTTTATATCTGAGTATGAACACAACAGTAGTGTTAGGCTGGCATGTGCTACTGACAAGATTTCTCAGAAGTATATAAAGAAACGTTCATTGGCACGAAAATATCAAATAACGGAGAGATACATCTACCGTGAAAGAGAGGAAATGAACCAGTATTGCAATAAAGCACAGGAGACACGAAAAGAAGATAAAGAAATACAATACAATCCCATGGAGGATCTGTGGGAATGACAGACTTCACACATGGCATCCATAATCTTCTTATATGTGTATATCAAATTACAAATAAACATTCTGTTACCAAGTGTCTTATCTTTCCCGTTTTACTGATTATTTTTATGTTATTAATTGTGGGTGCGTACTGATGGGGAGTCTTAAACTAGGACGAAACACCTGTCCAAGTACTCCCAGGTTTCCCAGTAGTTCTCTAACTGATGTCAGCTGATGACGAAATCCTCCAATCAACATTTTTCCTTACTAACTGTGTTGTGAGAAAAGTAGCGATTTATTGTTCAATATTCAGCCATCTGCTTAAATGGTTATTTACTAAGACTAAATTTAAAAGTTATGAAACCTGATCAGCTCATATAGCAGCTGGCAAATGGTACCATAAGCTGTAAGACGATTATACGATTTTTAACTGATGAACCTTCATAGTATTTGCTCAAAAGTATTGAAACTACAGAGTAAACAATATTGGGATGAGAAGTAAGTCAGTCAGTCAGTCAGGTTGTGAATTTTTATCATATGTGCTGAACATGTTTTACTCATGCCAAAACACTGCAATGTTTGCTTCGATGTTAACTGTAGTAAGCCGGATACATGCCAGTAACTCACGTTGACTATAAATGTTGGTCCGAGCCGAGTACGGAAGTTTAGGAACCTTAATTCAAGCCTTCTAAGCATTAATAATCAATCGTTGGAGAATGTTAGTAAAATGCCTCACTCCCTTTATTCTCTTTGAAATTCTGAATATCTTCATGGAATACATTTCCCTATACACTAATGCCCGTTAATTGGAATGTCACACCGCTGGTGTACACTATCACCTGATTATTTTGCTAGGCAGCAACACAAAATAACTCACTATTCGACTACCAAGATTGTAATTAGAATAAAGAGAAAAAATATTTTGAAAAAAACGCAACAAACAAACAAAGAACAAATACTTCTGTATAAGCCTAAAATTATCGAAAAATCAAAACAAAATTCTTTCCTAACCTTCACAAGGGATAGTATCACGTCGAGATAAATTGATCGATTGGTGTTTCGAGGTTTGTGATGAGATCATTTCATCTTCCATATAAATACCAGACTCATTGTCATCATAGCGATTTTTCTGTGAAGTAGATGAATCGCCGATTAACGATGACTTATGCGCGGAATTTTCTGGTATTTTATTCAGTACACTGGTATTAGAATGATATGAATTCGTAGATAAGGGAGTATGCGATTTCGTCTCACCAGCACTGAGTGGTAGAAAAATATCTTCAAAAATTATTGGTAAATTAGTCATATCACCATCCAATTCACGACATGTAACCGGTAGAGTTGGAAGCTTTTGGAAATAAGGCGACTGGCGCACATCAGAGGCGAGAGATTCATGTCCAGCCAAACTGTAAATAAAAATTAACAAATACTAATACGGGCAGTGGAGAAAAGCTGTAACCTTTACATTAAAAAATGAAAAAACATCCAATAAAAAGTTGGATAAGATTGACGATATTACTCTGTGTTCATATGAAAGGGAGAAAAATTTAGATTTATGGTTTAGGTATAATCGGGAAATAGTAAACCAAGTGATTGAATGAAGTTGAGATCTGAGTTTTTATTCACTTCTGTTGCACAAAACAAAACGTAAACATTCCAAGAAACATGCAGAATGTCAAGCTTACATTTATTGCCAAAATGTCCTCTGGTTAATAAAGTAACACTAAATAATAAACGGGTTAAAATAAAGATATAGATTAACACCTTCAATCTTCAGTTGAAATACACTGTGACTTGTCTGATGTAGAATATTACAAGCATAAAAGGGGTTTTATTAGAAAACATTATGTTGAAAAAACAACTAAATGATTTTATCGGTTAGTACAAAATCTAGTTCTCTGATAAAAAGAAGGAACCCTTGGCTATATAGATGCCATTACAAAACAGGTTAGCAATATTTAATATAGCTATTCTTATGCGACATGCTCTGCCTATACTAGCTATTTCTAAAACACTTGCACTTTGACGGTAGTTCTATAGTAACCACATTCCTCAGAACTCTAGAAAGCATTCTTACAGAATATCCGAAAAATTACTTAAAACAACTTCACTTTTCAGTTCAAAAAGTATGTTCCATGTGATAATGGAACCTAACTCAGTTGGTGTTACAGTCGCGTTCAGCGTTAGAGGTAAGTCTGGAGTGCACGATTCGATAAACATATATAGTGAGTCGGTGGCACAGTGGTTAGGACTCTCGCCGACCATGCACATGATCCGAGGTTCGATCCCCTGCCGACGCACACCTGATATCTACGGTCGGCCTGCGAAATTTGGGCTACCTATATTGCATGCTGAGAATTCCATACTTATACCGAATATACGGTGTGGAATCAAGCTGTGATCAAAAATAATAATAAAAAAAATAGTAGTTAACCTGCTGTTAATTTAATTAGAATAAGGGGCAATTGGGAACAGAAATGCTATATTTTCCTTCTATTTGACTACATTGTTGTTATGAATAGGTTCCACTTTCTCTGAGTAAAATCAATCATTTGTGCTCGACAGATATTACAGTGCTACTATTATTGTAAATGTAGAATTTGATAACTGTGGTAGAATGTAATCCCATTTTAGACGAGTTCATTTTAAATGTTACACATTGATGCAGTATTAGGAACTGGATGACGTTTCGAGAATAAATTACTGCTCATAATCATAATAGTTTGATATTTGAATTAAACTTATCTAACATGCAGAGTACAGCTCTGCCTACAAAAGAAGTTCGTTCAATCACTACACTCTCAATGGATGTAATCTATCTTATTACCCAACAAGTAAATTCTACCTAATCCTTTTCTCTTTTGTTTCTTTATTAGTATTATTTTGTCCTCTCAATTGTAATATTTTACATTTTCAACTCCCGTGCTTTCTACCCCCACCCGATTTAATTTCTACACCTCACTACCACTGTTACTGACTTGACCAACGCTCAATTTCTAGTCACTCATTTATGTTACATCATCCAACTTAATTGCTCAATTTCAGTTCTAATTTAAATGGCAGTAGGCATTCTCTACCCCACTTCTACTTAGTCCCTCTCTACCTGTAATTATCTCTGTTGCTACCCTGACCTAAGTTGAAACATTTCAGTCAATTATATTACATCAACTAACTTACTAACTCAATCTTACTTTAGTTGCTGTCTGATGAACCTTGTTTGTTATATTAGATCATTCTTGTATTACCTGATCAATTATCTAAACTTGACAAACCTCATGCACACACACACAAATAAATAAATTCGATTGTACAGATATGTGAATGAATGCGCCGAAACGAGTTTCTTCACTGGACGTCTACTCTTTTTCATATGACTCAATTGGGATTTTCAGGCTAATGTGAAATTGTAGTGTTACCCGTGAAATTGAACATATGTAACAGGAGGCTAAACTCGGAATACTATTTAGGTGTCCAATGGCGTCTTTATGACCACCTATCTAATTACATACCAAAGACCAGAGTAGCATACGCCAACCAGGGGCAATCCTGACACCATAATCACAATAATTTGGCAATTAAAAATCCACCTTCGGTATATGTCGTTTACCATTTTTAGTAAAGGATGCTGACAAATATATAGTGGGTACTGCTGACGAAATTCACTAAGATGAAGTCGTCACTCAGTATTCCCTGCTTTTAAATATTTCTTTGGCTGATATCAGTTCGTGATGAAATCCAAGTTAAAATAAAAATCACTTCCCTACAACTCAGAACAGATGTGAACAAAGGAGTTCAACAATAACGTTACCCAGATTTTGAAAGTGATTGACTTAAAGTCGATCTATCAGGCCCAGATCATTTCAAAAAGGCAGCGATAAAACACTACTTAATCTTTATAAAAATCTATATGCGTCAACGTCTTTAATGTCAATATTCTAGTGCCTCACCCAGAAAAGAAATTTCTGTTCCCAACCCCCAAAGTCCATTTTTTGATTCAATAATAACTTAAATAAACAAATTAAGGGAATAACAATGAAGTTACTTATCACTTAGTCATCTCTGTTAACTGATGTTTTATCAGAAATCTGCAAAAAAGTGAATTAGACTGAATGACTGAAGAGAATGCATTAGTAGACTTTCAAAGTCAGTGATTATCATCTATTAATCTGGCTTGCCTTTCAATCTAATGTAAACTGAGAATTTCAGTTTTGCAGGTTCACTGTGATAACACATTGATTTAAATGGAAAAAACATCAAGCTAGCAAAGAGAAATACAAGGAATGTTTTGTTCCATTTAGGGAAACAAAATAAGATGAGTGTGCACGGAAACAAAAGCTGATAAGAAGAGTATTAACATAAACGCCCTTATCAGGGGGAGACTTGTAACTAAATCAGAATGCTTAATTATTTCATATACTCACAAAAAGCATTTTTTATAAATGTCTAGGCCTTTTCTTTGAGACCTAAGCTGCCTCATTATCAAGATGGCAACTGATTAGTAGATGGATGTATCGATGTATCATGGATATATATCACCATGAACCACTTCGTAGTGTGTTTGAATAACCTATCTACATAAGTCACTCAGAGCATACGTTTACTTGTTGCTTGAAATAGTTCGTCAGAATCCCCACTTATGATTATTTAGTTTAAAAAGCAGAGAGATCTTGCAGCATGTCCCCAGGTGAATTTATCTATTTCCAAGTAAAATACTCAATAAAGAATGAATAGGGTAAAATCATCTTTAGCATCCTTGTTCCTAATCAAATACCTCCAACTCTACTGGGTACATATGACTATTATTATGTCCTTTAATTCCTAAAGGAACATAGGACTTCAGCCACGCGTCTCCATCGCCTTCGGTTTTCTGACAACTTTTTCACTCCGCTCCAAGTCTGCCCACATGCTTTCATCTTCTCCCAACATGACCTCATCAAAGTCACCCCACCCATGCACTGACGACCAACTCGCCACCCGCTTCCCTTTTGGCTTCCACTCGAGCGATGGATTGTCTAGTGATGTCGCTTGGTGGTTTGTTTCCTCAGAGTATGGCCAGCCAATCCATCTCCATTTCTTCCTGCCTGTTTGTTTCACAAATGGTTCCTGCTGGGTTGGTTCGCTCATTTCCAGAGATCCCACCCTGTTGCTGATCTTTTCTGGCTGGCCAGCCATCTGATCTTGAGTGGTATATATATATATATATATACTGACTGGACACAAGTTAGTAACTAGTATCATGCGTTTAGTCCTTTGCTTGGTGCAGACTGAATTCTATCAATCAAGTTCGCAATGTTGCCACAGTGTTAGGTGGCTCGTCACCACGGCGCACTCCGAATTGCTAAGATGACTGGAGGTAATCGACAGGAAGCCTTGTACTTAGGTTTTGTGCTCGTTGTCACTCATCAGCAAGGCGTATCTGCAATTCTGGAGGAACTGTTTTCCCTCCTGAGATTTGAACCCGTGTCACTCAGTGCTGCAGTCAGAGATGTTTACCACTGACAGAATTCAGTCTGCACCAAACAAAGGACTAGACACAGGATACTAGTTGCTAACTAGTGCATAACCAAAGTATCCAATACATTTTTACAGAAGGTCAATCAAATGCCAGAACAGCTCAGTGGTAAACGTCTCTGACTGAAGCACTGAGTGACACGGGTTCAAATCTCAGAAGGGACAACGCTCCCTACAAAATTGCAGATGCGCTTTGCTGATGAATGGCAATAAGCACGAAAAACCTACGTTCAAGGCTCCCTGCTGATTGCCTCCAACTATATAATATATACATCTCCTGCATTCCGAATAAACACTTAAGTAACTAACTTCACATTGAATCAAAGAAATGCACTTTAAAACACTTTGAAGTTCATGCTAATTTATTATTTTCATAATCTTGTAGATTATGATGCAATTCATTTTGACTTTAAACATAGTTTTCAATCATTTTACACATACCATAGAATCGATTCCCAATGACTTCGTCACAATAACTTTAAACATGATTGTATACCTCTATCGCTGAAAATAAAAATAACCTTATTCTTTTAGTTATTTGCCTCTCTTCAGTTTACTATGCAACGTTTATGTACACATCATCAAATTTTATATTTTTGTTCCTTACACAATGCAGCAGAGGTGGACTATCACTTTAAAAACGTCTACACCATACAACGAAGTAGACAGAAATAAGCACATGCATAGTAAGTAAGCATTAACATAAATAAATACTTCACTCACCTTGAATCGTAAATAGTTAATAGATTGGCAAGTGATAATTCTTGACAGAAAAATGCTTCAGCAAATCGTTTCATCTAAACATTAAGCAAAGTAAGAGAGAAAAAACACACACTACAACATCCAACTGTTACCTTTTACAGATTTCATTGATCTCAAGGTGGATTTATTCACACAGTGATGCTAACTAAAGAATCACTGAAGGCTAAGGTGCACTGGAATTCTGTTTTGTTCTAATTGACTAATCAACACAGATCTCCGTACCGAACCAAACGTCCAAGTTGCTGCACTTTGATACTTCGCCTTAGCATGTCTGGTGTCCAGCAACTACTGTATCAGAATTAAGTGATCTATGATCACTGTTTCTGTCAATCCGTATTGTCAGGCCATTTACATTCAATTTAATTGATGAGGAACTGTCAACAAGTATGACTACGTCGATCATACTAGGAAATCAATACTAACGTACACTGGATTGAGTGTTTTGATTTGTTAGTTATGTGAAGATGTGATATTTTTTTTTTACTAAACAACTTTCTTTAGAAGACATTTTTGAAATTTCGATAAATAAAGGGAGATGAAATTTGCAGTATAAAATGATATCATTCTCTTCTTTGGAGGTTCTTATCAGCTGCAGACTACCTGAAATTACAATGGTTATATATGATAATAACATACTTTAATGCTTACATTTTGGATGAGTCAATTTTATAGTATTTCTTCTCTACTATCACCTAAACATTAAAGTATGTTATTATCATGTACATAACTAGTGTAATTTCAGGTAGTCTGCAGCTGATGAGAACCTGTGAAATAGAATGACATCATTTTCTTCTTCCCTTCTTTATCGAAATTTACCAAGGGAACTAAATGTATGAAACAATTGTGAAGCTTTGAAAAAAATGCTAATTTAAAGACCAAGAAAGTCTAAAAGTTCTGTCTATTGAATGCATTGTATGTAGGCAGCAGTACAGTTTAGCTAGACTCTGCAAGTGACTTATGCGTACAGTCTACTGCAGGCGTACACAGGTCAGTGTTTAAAATATATGTTAGTAATTATAGATAAAGTGTATTCAAGTGTTTCAAAATTTCGTGAACCTTAAGACAAACAGCACTGACAAATCGAATGCATATTTTCTCATTTACTCATTATATCAGGGCCCCAGTTTGATGGAATTACTAGGTGCGGAGAGTAGAGATTAAACACATAAATTTGGGTAACACAGACAAATTAATTAAAAACCTCCATCAGTGAACTAGCTGGTCATACATCACACCTGTTCATATATTGATGGAGAAGATAAGTAGCTCAAGGAAATAATTCTGTGGAGATAGCTTAGCTGTCACACTATCCAGTTAAAAGACCACAACTACACTAAGACACCTGTACAATATTACAAGAAGAAAGATTAAGTTGGATTATGATAAACGGTAGAAAGCCCAAGATGGAAGAACAACACATGAATTCAGTGACCATTTATCTGACCCATGTGAGAGAGTTTAGATGACAAATTTGCATAACCTCTTTCTAGATGATCGTCACTTCGCTGTCCTCCTTTCACTTGATATGTACGAGTATAAGCTGGAGAGAATCCTGCAATAATGCGAAATTCTATGTTTACTATATCTGTCGACCACAGTAATCATAGAATATAAAGTAAATAATGACTTTAGGGATATCACAACATAGTATACACAATTTGAAGCGATAAAGTGACAACAAAATAACTTACACGAATTTGATGAAATCTTCGGCGTAGAAAGTTGGCCAGCTTAGATTGCAAGGTGACAGATTTGCAAAGTTGTTTGAACAAGGTAGTGTTTTGAGATGAAAGACGTGCAATATCGAGTGAAATCTGATTTGCCAAGTCATCATCTGTTTCTAAAGCCTACGAAGAAAGACACAGTGTGAACTGGTGGTCTACGAATAAGAGATATAACGACCTAGAATAATAACAACCAAAATATTACATCGTCCTTGTGGGCACTAAGTTCAAAATGAAGGATTTACAACCAAACCACTCAATTCAGAGGACACAATACCATCAAAATATGTTCGTTATTTCAAGAACTAAACCATATCCTATGAGTTCAACTAGCAAATTATGCCATATGTTTGCAACCTGTGCCCTGATATCGAAAGATCATTATGATTTGATATTATTATCCCCTGAATTGGCTTCAAGAGTTAAATGAATATGATAATTGGCTTCTATTTTAAGTAACAATGGTATGCTCTATTCGAATAAACAAACAAACAAGTACAATTTATTATTGTTTCTTTGGGTTCCAAGTGGAACATAAACCTTCAGCAACACATTTCCACTTTGATATAAGTATAAAACTTGGGCACTGTGGTAGAGTATAACTACATTATAGATAAGATTTTATTTTGATAAAACATATCCATGATTATGAGCAACAGTTTGTGCTCGAAACGTCATCAGTTAATATTATTGTATAACAATGTGTGATTTATCAAAATAAAATCTTATCTATAATGGAGTTACATCACTTTGATTGGACAAAAGTAACTAATATGGTGTGTCTAACCCTTTCTTTGGTGCGCCGTGATGGCGAGCTAGCTAGAATGGTGGTTACATTACAACCTGACTGATAGAATTCAGTGTACACCAACCAGAGGACTAGACGCATCACACTAGTTACTAGTGTCAAATCAAAAAATATCCACTACAGTCCTACAGGAGGTCAATCGCGAGCCCGAATAGTTCAGTGGTAACGTCTCTGACTGCAGCACTGGGTGACGCAGGTTCAAATCTCGAGAGGGACATTAGTTCCTTCAACGTTGCGGATACGCCTTGCCATCTAGCACGAAACCTAGGTTCAAGGCTTCTGTGGCCGATTGCTTCCAACCATCTAATATCATCACATCTCCACGTTGTTTAATATCCTGCTGTCCTCTTCAACTGGGTGCACGATTGCCCATAATGTCTTATCTCATAATCGCACGATCTCCTCCATGTCACCCTGTGGCAACCTACTCGTCGTTTCCAATTCAGATTCAACTCAAGGGCCTGGCCCACGATGTCATTCTACGGCCTACTTAGTGTGTGCACACTCCATCTCCACTTTCTCCGAAATATTTGTTGAACGATAGGTTTTTAGTAAGTTTGTTCCCATAGTTTCACGTTGCTAATTCTTTCTGGCCAATTGATCTTCAATATGAAGTCAGAGAAGACATCTGATGATAACTGTTCGCAACTTGTTAGGAATGCTTTTCGTGGTGCACTCGCGACCCATATAGAAGAACTGACTGACTTCACATTTGTGTTGAAAACACGAATTTTGTTCTTCGAACTGAATGCAGAAGCGTTTCAAGCTGATTTCAGATTAATGAAGGTGTATCATACCTTTCTGATTCTGGCCTGTGCTTTGAAATTTCCTTCCGTTCTTTCTTTGGTTTGAATAATACTTCCTAGATAGCTGAAGAAAGTGATCTTCTTCAAGTTTCTCCCGTCTATAGTGATTGCTGCTGTTGTTGGTTAGTTGTCTTCGTCACCTTAGTCTTCTCTATGTTCACCTGGAGTCATGTCTTCACTGCTTCTTAGGCCAGTTTATTGGTTTTAGCCTGCAAGTCTTCGAGTTTGTATGAGAGTAAACATAAATCATCCCCGAAATCCAGAACTCCTAGAGTCTTCTTATCAGTCTAACATGTTCCTGTCTTCTCACTCCCCATAGTCTTTCGCATAATCCAGTCCACCATAATTAGGAATATCACGCGTGATAATAGGCAGCCTAAAAAAAATACAAACTATTTTATAAATGCTCTGATGACTGATAACTTTAAGTCGTCTAATTAGACAGATTAGAAGATGGTTATAGTTTATTGGGGGACATCCATTGAATATGGAATGTTTAATTACTTCATTTATGTAGTTTAGCCACCTTAGTTCAATCATTTTCTGCTTCTTAAAGTGACAACTTTTCTCTTGTCGGTGATTTCTGTCCTAGTTTTGATCACAACTACTGAGAATGGTCGGAAATTATACAGACTGATTGAATGCTAAACCTGAGGCTATTTCTCTTTTATCATACACATATTATTATTATATCCTTTAATTCCTGAAGGAACATAGGACTTCAGCCACGCGTCTCCATCGCCTTCGGTTTTCTGACAACTTTTTCACTCCGCTCCAAGTCTGCCCACATGCTTTCATCTTCTCCCAACATGACCTCCTCCAAGTCACCCATGCACTGATGACCAACTCGCCACCCGCTTCCCTTTCGGCTTCCATTCGAGCGATGGATTGTCTAGTGATGTCACTTGGTGGTTTGTTTCCTCAGAGTATGGCCAGCCAATCCATCTCCATTTCTTCCTGCCTGTTTGTTTCACAATTGGTTCCTGCTGGGTTGGTTCGCTCATTTCCAGAGATCCCACCCTGTTGCTGATCTTTTCTGGCTGGCCAGCCATCTGATCTTGAGTGGTATTGGGTGAAGACAACTGTTAATGAAGGCCTGTAGTTTGTTTGAGATGCTCTTTATGACGCGCTGGTCAAGTCTTCGATCCGTATAGTAAGTAGCACTGACTGACTTCACATTGGAGTTGAAAATCCGGATATTGTTTTTGATGCTGAACGCTGTTGACCTCCACACAGATTTGAGAGTAATGAAAGCTTGTCTTGCTTTTCCGATTTTGGCTTTGATATCCTCGTCATTTCCGTCGGCCTGTAGTTGAAACGATGCTTCCCAGGTAGGTGAAGGAAGTTGTTTCTTTATGGTTCCTTCCTTTTATGGTGATTGCTGCATGTTGTTGCTGTTGGTGTTGACCAAGAATCTTCATCACCTCTGTTTTATCTATGTTCACTTGAAGTCCTATCTTCTCTGGATGCTTCTTCTGCCAACTTGTTGCTTTTCATTTGCATATCTTCCAGTTTGTGGGAAATCAGACATATAACATCGGCGAAGTCCAGATCCTCCAAGTTTTTTGTGTGAGTCCACTTTCTGCCTGTTTCCTCATCGCCCATTGTTTGTTGCATTATCCAATCTACTGCAGTCAGGAAGGTCACTGGCGATAGTAGACAGCCTTGCCTCACTCCCGTCGTCACTTCCAAGGGTTCTGTAAGTTTCTAGTTGTCGATTACTCCGCATGCAGCATTGTCGTACAATTGTTGGATGAGATGTATAATTGTCGATGGGACCTCGTAGTAGCGAAGTAATCGCCAAATGACCTCTCGATCGACGCTGTCGAAGGCCTTTTCAGAGTCCATAGACTGCCATCCCAAGCTTTGTTCAATGATGATCCGTAGTGTAGCGATTTGATCAATACATGACTTGTTTCTCCTGAATCCAGCTTGTTCCAGTCGAAGTTTCTCATCAAGGATGATGCGCCTTAGTATTTTGCTTGGGATGGACACATATAGTTAAACTTAACCCGCTAAGGTAAGCGAATAATCATTACTTCTGTAGGAAGTCTTAAAATGAACTAATTAATGAAGAATAACACTGTTACTAGTCAAATCGTCTTCATTGTGAATAGTTCGATATCGACTGGTACATAACTTCTTTCTTTGTTTCTTTTAACACCTTGTACATAACGAAAGGTGATGGTGACTGCCCCGATAAGGCAAACTTCAGTTACAATCGGTCAGGTTGTAGAAATTCAAGGTAACTAAATGGATAGGCGCGTAGCAGATATTGTACTGAGGCTACCAACCTTGTAATTAATATAAAATGAAACGAGACAATTATCAAGCACTGTATGAGACTTTCAAGGGTTATGCAGATTAAAACTGTTTTAAAGCTAAGCATTAATGACAAGAATTTATAACAACTTCCAACACTTGACTTTATATGGTATGGATATAGCATGTAGCCAAAGTTGAGTTGAAGCATTGATTAGCAAATGCTCTAGTGTAACGGTAAACATCATCATTATCACATATTTTAAAATTTTAATTTGCTCCCTCCAGTCACAGGAATTTGCTTTAATTAACAACAAATAAAAGCAGTGATTTTTACATTACAACACTACTGGTGTTCATCTATATAGTAGTGCGTCGGTGGCACAGTGGTTAGGACTCTCGCCGACCATGCACATGGTCCATGGTTCGAGCCCACGCCGGCGCACACCTGATATCTATGGTCGGCCTGCAAAATTTGGGCTCCCGATATCCATGCTGAAAATTCCATACTTGTACCAAAAATACAGTGTGGAATCAAGCTGTAAATAAAAAATAAAAAAAAAATAAATAGTAATAATAATAACAATAGTGGAAATAACACTAACCTGGGTTATCTGAGTAAGTGAGTCCAATTTACTTCGAAAATCCACAGTTTCTATACATTCAAAAAGTCAAGCAAAATAAGATGGTAAGATTATTACCTAGGAAATGTTACAATAATAGTATTAAAACAAAGCGTTAACCTAATAGCAAAGACGTTTACATTACCACTTAATCCCTCATAATTCGTCAGACTTGAGATGACAACCAACGAGTGTTAGCGTATCGATTTCTTGGGCATACACAAATAGCGTGGTCTGATCTGACTGCATCGGACAGCACTTTTAGCGCAGTTTACATCAGTACATCGTGGTGGAAGACAGATTAGGGAAAGACGAGATGCAAAGGAAGACTTAGATGAAATGTTTAAAGGATATGCGACACTATAAATCAAAATCTCCTAGGCGCCGATATGACAGATTTTTAATTGTGTGAACTAAATCCCCTACCCAGAGATTTAAAATGTTTAACAAACACAAGTTACAAGGATTATATTTCTTACAGAAGTCTCGGTACAGAATTTAAGTCTGGTCGCTATCTGATATCCTCAAAAGCGAACTCTACTGCTACATTGAGGCAGAAAGTTGGTCAGCGAGGTTAATACATTCATGACTTCACTTAAGTAAACTGTAAATTGTTTACGAGGTGGTCCAACCACAGGGGATCAACGCTTCAACATAATGCTGACTCAAACTCTTCTGAATTCATCATAAGTCTTTAATGATTATTCGCAAAACTATAAAAAATTAAGTGCATGTGGCTGCCTAATGAGCAATCAAGGCATGTCACATACACCGATTTCGGATCCAACCAGCATTAATTTACAGTCGTAATATCATTTTATGCCATTTGATTACAGTACTTTACCTTTTGTTGAGTGAGACTTGCACTGATTGGTCCGTAACAATGTGTGTGTACAGTCTACATATGGAATCAATCGAATGATCTAGTGCGGTAGTCAAGGTGATATACACTCCATCGAACAGAGTATCACTAAAAGCGGAAGAACAAAAACTAAATTTACACCAAAGCAGTATCCTTTATCGTTCTCAATGACAATGTACCTAGCATTGGAGAAATCGCATTTACTTTGAGCTCGATTGAAAAGGAAATAAAATTAAATCAATATGATTTTCTGTAAAGTTTGTGTTATCCAAAATTAGTCAGTAAAACGTGTCCCAATATGTAATTCAGTTTTTTTTTATTAACAGTGATGTATTGTAAGTGGTGGATAGTGACTAGCAGTGGAATCCAGGGTGCGCATTTAGTCCTATTTGGGACTCGTCAGATGGATGTACCTGCATTTCTCAGTGAGTGATGATGTTCCCACCGAGGCTCGATAATGCTTTGGCGTTTGGAACTATGGGCACTGGGTTAGAGCCTCGGTGACAACATCATCACCACTCACTGAGAAATGCAGGTACATCCAGCTGACGAGTCCCAAATAGGACGAAATGCGCATCCTGGATTCCACTGCTAGTCACCATCCAACGATTTAAATACTAATCAAATGCCCAGACATCGTCGAATCATCTGCACAAGAAGTCGACATGTCAACCTGAGACTGAGCACTAAGGTTCAATCAATCGACGGGAAAATCTAAAATTCAAATAAAGTGGTGTATTGTATGCTATCGAAAACATATCGAATATCTATTAGTAAGCGATTCTATTGTTTTTGGGTTAAAATTCATTTGATAGTTGTATATACACGTAGAAATTATATAATTTCATAGTATTTCTTCTTCAAAAAAGAATATACCAAAATGATTCATGCATTTCAAACACCAGTTAGTTTATCTTTCAGTGTAATATTTCTAATTCTATTCGTGATGTTGTGACTCACTCTATAAAAGGTATTAACTATCAACTAGTAGATTGTAGGTTTATGGAAGACAGTTGTGACCTTCTCCAATGCATGCCAGGCTGCATATTATCTGCAGCGTTACCTTTTCCGCACCGATGTATGCACATATTTATTTCACGATGATTAATTCACAACTTTAGTGTTCAACTAACTTGAAAACATAATTAACCTTTTTGTATAATACTATAACTGAATCAAACTGAATCAGTGAGAAGAATAGACATCTGCGTGAATAACACAATAATTACTAATCAGACGGCATCTATGAAAGAATGTCTGAAACGGACTACATAAACAAATACACACTGACAAGCGCATATTAATCATTTGTAGTGGTAACAAAGGTTGTTGCCTTTTTTCTTATTTAAAAAAACAACTATTTACACCGATGGATGATGAAAACAAATTCAGAGAAAAATGAGATGACTTCACCAAAAAGCTGTTTTTATGTGATAATCATTTTCAGCATTGTTACGAACTTACCACTGAAACAAGCCAGTAGGTTTGTCACATTGACATTACCATTCAGTTACAAGATATATCTCTGGTGCTAGTAAATCGACAAGCGCATTAACCGAATCTCACCCGTAATAAAGTAGAGTCAGTTAAACAACGTCTATTATTAGTATTATTTATTGTTCCCTTGGGTTCCTAGTGGAAGATACGGCTCCAACTGCACGTCTCCACTTGCCACTTCTGTCTTCCTTCTGCCGCACTCTTCACCTGCATCCATGTTAGTCCATACTGTTTCAACTCCTCTTCACACAATCTACTCCATGTCACCCTTGCACTGACGTCCCACTCACCGCTTCCCTTTCGGCCTGGTTCCACTCGAGCAATGGCCTGACGCGCGCGCGATGTCAAACAGAGACCTCCTCAGCGAGTGTCCAATCCATCTCCACTTTCTCCTGCATATTTGTTGTTGTCGTTGGGCGATTGGTTCTTGTTTTATTTGTTCCCATAGTTTCTTGTGGGTGATTCTTTCCGGCCTGGCCATCTTATCTTCAGTATAGAGCGATAGTTGACAGTTGTTGATAACTGTCTAGTTTGCAACAGGCTGTTGGAAATATTCTTTGTGACCCACCCGCCAAGTTTCTGATCCGTATAGAGGAATTGACTGACTTGACGTTTGTATTAAAAATCCGACCGACTTTTGTTGCTGGTTCTGGTTGAGTGACGAAGATTTCCAGATTGGTTGTTTCAGGTGGATGAATGTGTTTCTCGCCTTCCCGATTCTCACTCGATTTGACATCCTCGTCCGTTCCGACAGCCTGTAGTTGAGATAATGCTCCCTAGATAAGTAAGTGAATGAAGTAACTTCTTTCAAATCCCTCCCGTTGATGGTGATTGGCGCTGGATGTTTCTGCTGTTGTTGTTGGCTGGTTATTTTCATAACCTCCGTCTTGTCTATGTTCACCTGGAGTTCTGTCTTCGCCGGCTGCTTCTTCGACCAGTTTGTCGGTTTTCGCTTGTAAGTCTTCGATTTTGTGTGATATCAAACATAAATCATTCACGCGCGAAATTCAGGTCTTCTAGGTTCTGCGGCTACCTGGACAGCCTTTCCAGCTTCGTACATTGTACGAACATTCCACGTCCTCATCTTTATTTTTGCTTTCATCGAAAGAAGGCACATCGGCTGACTGGCTTCCCGTCAGTCATTGAATAACACAGTAGTGAAACTTTTCGGCTTTTTTTTATTTATTTTTATTTTTTATTTTTTATTACAGCTTGATTCCACACTGTATTTTTGGTACAAGTTTGGAATTTTCAGCATGGATATCGGTAGCCCAAATTTTGCAGGCCGACCATAGATATCAAGTGTGCATCGGCGTGGGCTCGAACCACGGACCATGTGCGTGGTCGGCGAGAGTCCTAACCACTGTGCCACCGACGCTTTTGGTTGCGGAATCGATCAAAAGTGCTCTGTACCGACACAGAACGCATAAAGTCCGTAAATTTTTCCGGTTTCTCCAGGCTTTATTATTTCTTCGAAAACCATTCATCATCCGCCGTGGCAATATCTTTAGCACCAACTCCATTAAATGAGTTAAAAAGAATTCTAGTATCCTTCTTTTATATCCAATAAAGAAAATTAGCTATATCGGTTTGATCAGAGCAGTGTTGGTTATTCAGATTAGTATCGTAGTATCCGAACAAAGTAATATTATAATAATAAATAGGAAAAATGAAAAGAGTAATCATCAACCTACCAATTCGTGGTTTAACATTTGCAGGTAAGTAAGGAATACTTTCACGCCAAAACAAAAGCATAGATTCTCTTGCTGCCAGTAATATTTGACAAAGATGTCTATGTATAGCAAGGGCGAAATGATGTCTGCTAGCCTGAAGTTAAAGTAGAACAAACGAAAAATTTGAACAGAGAATCGGCGTTACAATATAATCAAAAAAGCTTTGAAACGGAAGCAACGTCACGACAAGTAACGTTTTACGCATAAATATAATTTCCTAACGTTGGTTTGTAAGGATATCAGTTAGAGAACCATTGAAAACCAGGGAGTACTGGACAGCTGTTTCACCCCAGTTTGGGAATCATCGACAGTGAGCGACCACTGGGATTCGAATGCAGGACCTTACGATTACAAAGCAAGTTCGCATACCATTCAACCACTGGGACCCAATTCAGTGACCCATGAATTCTAACTTCTACCAATTCATGATCTAGCGAGACCCCGACTAATGTCGTCGGTGGGATATCCATCCTCACACTTGACTGGATTGACCTCATAAATATAAAGTGAAATAAAATTGGAAGTTCGATAGATTAAGTATACACTGAGGTACTCGGGTGATCTTTCTATGCTAAAAGATGATAGTGTACCTCTTATTTTTGTTAATACAGCTACTAAAAGAAAAGTTGAAAGGACAGCATAAGAGATAAGTCGCGAAACTAAATAATTCTCTAAACAGAACTGTTCAAATAGAGTGGGACCGCAACAGTAACAAGTATCAAATTGAAGTATGCGCTGAAGATGTCACCCAGTAAGGTGATGAAAGCTTCGCAAACTAACCATCCAGCTCAGAGAACAAAACCACATCAAAATCATCCACCTGAGCTACAAATCTTCTCTATAATATCTAAATCTTACGAGCGGTAACAAGTATCTGTCAGTAAACATCATTGGCAAATGCATGATACATACTTTTTGTTCGATTGTTCATGTAACTGTTGTTTTGATGTAATGAACACGTATATCTTATCATAACTCCATAACTTGTTACATTTTATTACATACATCAGTAAATTATGTATGTGAAATTCATTATATGCGGTGAACAGGTTTAATTGAATATTATTAAAAAAATAAGCATATTTTTTAGCTACTTTGTCTGTAGTAATTTTAAGCCTGACTAATAGCTGGTATCCTGATGTGATGCTCAAGCTTGCATTTCGCAATGTCCCAACAAGCTAAGCTGGCTGGAGCTAACATTCATGCAGACCCTTTCATGACAGAAAAATAATTTGGATAGCGGTTAGACTAAAAGCAATCATCACTATAGTATAGATCGTTTAAGAGTACGTTTACGGTCTGAGGGCGAACAGGGATGTAACACTAGTAAGGTGTTTCCCTCAGACAACTGGCAAGCCACCTATGCTGCCTTTCTGCTCTGGGGAGAAGAGAGAGTTAGTAAATACTGAACCCGAAAGTTGTAAATCCCAATTTTCCTTCTGGAAGCCCGTAACAGGTAGTACTATCTTCACATAGACACGACTCCAAAAACCAAATCACACAGGCTTTGTGTGACTGACATTAAGCAGCTGTCCTTTGGTTTTTGCGGTCATACAATACTAATTCCCCTTCTGTTTCAAGTGTTTTAAGAAGAAATCAATTTCCACGATGTATGATCAACCATGAACTAAAATAGACCTCGTAGCAATAAGCTTTCGATGAAGAGGATCAGCAGAAGACTGCTGCTCTTTCTGATACACTTGTATCGACTCCAGTCACACACTGGTACGTGCACGTACATATCTACAAATGGAAGGATACAGGAATCTAGGAGGCCGATATGCCACCAACTTGTTGCTAACACTAAGCCTCTAATTAAGGGACAAAAGAGATAAACGTGTATGTGTTTATTTATTTAAACGCATAAAAACTTGGTACAATAAGGCACCAAGAAGGAATCGCCACACAATAATAATAAAACAACATAGATCAAAAGAAAAAAAGAGAAAAAATATATATAAGTAGAGAACGGATAAAGGACTTCATCTGGAAGGAAAACACTCACACTTAACAAGTTCAAACAGTATTTGTTAACTATCATCGGGAAGGGAAAAAGAAGGAAATTGTAACACGTTCGCCATTGATTACGATTCTTGGCCATATCGGATAACGTTTCGAGCCATCGATTTGAGCTATCTCTCGGACCCCAACCAGGGAGTCATGACACACCAACCGATGGTAATCTAGCACAAAAATCCTCCATCCCACGACGCCACGTCATGAACTGAGCACCTCTCCGCCTTTTCCATCCCGTCCCGGGGCTAGCGAACAGAGACCTGTACGGAAGCCTCTGGGATGACATTCGCAGCACATGTCCAAGCCACCGGAGCCGGTGTTTCCAGATGATGACACTCCATGAATATTGATCTCCACTGTGTTCAAACACACGCCTCCGAACCTCAGAATTACTCACGCGATGATCCCATCGGACGCAAGCAACCCTGCGGAGACAGCGATGATCGAACACGCAGAGTCGCCGCACATTCCCAGCTCGGAGAGGCAAGGTTTCACAGGCGTAGAGCAGGGCAGCCCGCACCGAAGTATTGTATACCCGACCTTTGACAGCCAGGCTAACATCGCGACGGCGCCATAGATGGCTCAAGTTGATGTATGCCACCCTAGCCTTCATTATACGGTTGGAAATCTCATCCGTCACTCCTCCGTCAGCACTCACACAACTACCAAGATACACAAACTTATCAACAACTTCATGCGGTTCACCCGCTTGTATATGAGATTAACAGGGACTCATTCTGAGAAAGCCTAGTATAATATCAAGGCAACGGCAGGGACAGTGGTACAGCTTGATGATAAGCTGAATGCCAGTAGATTCCTACTGCCTTATCTGAACTGACAGTCGCGTGAAGACTGATCCTAGCAGGCTCCAAACATCATGAGGATAGAAAGTCAATCAAGTACAAGTTCACTAGGAGTCTCTATGATGATCGTGAATAGTGGTGAGAGACGAAAACCAGAGAAGTGGAAAAGACATCAGTAGTAGATTGCATCAGACAACTGACTTAACTCTTGAAGGAGACGATTTTGTAGAAATTCAGTGGTACGCAAAATGATTTACGAGGACAATCCCTTAATTGACTCTCAGGATAGAAGATTGAACGTTAGATGGAAAAAACTGAGGAACAGTTCAACTGGCCTACAGCCAAGATAAATCTGTCCAGAATCCAAAGACTATTTGTATAGGATGTAGACATAGGTTCTCCAACTGTGAATGATGTTGCGAAAGGTGCCTCTAATCTGAAACGAGGTGACGCATCAGTTTCTGGTGTTACGACTCCACGGATGTTTAAGGGCCATGCTAGTGAACTGTTGCCTGGGTTAACTAAGGTATTAGGTAATGTGCAGGAATCAGAGATATCGTTGAATTGGTGTACATTATAGATTATCCCAGTTTATAAGAATAATGACAAGTCTTCCTGTGATAATTATAGTGGAATAGCTTGATTTAAATTCTAGGTTCAGTAATCATGCGTAGACGAAGTGGTGCTCAGGAGGAGCGAACCTAGGAAAACCAGGCAGCCTTTAGGCTAGGGAAGGGGTGTAATGATCAAATCTTCACTCTTCGTCAGATTCTGGAATATATACATACTTATCGGCACCCAACAATTGATATATATATATATATATATATCTTGACCTGAAGATGGTACTCGACCCTGTCGACCAGGAAGTGATGTGGAAATGTCTAGCCGTGAAGAGGGTACTGGAAAGTATACTGCACTAATCAAGACACTCTACTTAAACTCATACGGCAGTATAAGAGTCTACGGAGAGTCATCAAGTGAAGTGATGACAACTGGAGGTTTTTGCCAGAGATGGCCATTATCTCCATCTTCGTTTAACTTCATTATAAATGTCCTAATGAATGTCGTCCTAATAGACTTTGGAGTTTTGGGAATTGACTCGTTGCTAGGGTACAGTCTGATCGACTTAGAGTATGGGGTTGTTATTATCCTCGTAGGCGAACACGCTGAAGAAATGCAGAGACATCTGAACACCTTAAGCTTGAACCGTAGTATGTTTGACGTGTGATTCGGTCCAGTTAGATAAAAGATGATGCTGATGGACTGCTCTTCCCGACTCATAATTCAAAGATATGAAATAAAGTGGTTGGACCTGTTGATCACTTCACTTATTTGAGAACTTGAATGAGCCCTAACCGACTGATTTCTGACGAAATCTCAGTGCTCATACAAAAGGCATTTTACAACTCGCTGGCGTATATCTGATGTCCGGTTACCCATTAAACGGTGTATGTGTTGTACAGCAGTTCTCTCTGTCTTTCTTAATCTCCGTGAAAGGTGACCTTTGAAACTGTAATACTTGATGGGACTAGCTGTCTGACCACAGATGTATGCGTTCTATCTCCCATGTTAAGTGGTATATTATATATTGAGGTTAGACGTAGTGTTAGGTAAGAAGGTGAAGTCAATCGAAACGGCTGTGATGCTACATCAACTGAGATGGCTAGGGCAGGTGTTACGCAATCCCGGTCCTTTACCGTTCTTCATTAAGCAATATTAGGTGGGCAAGGATGAGGTTGGAAACGAGTTGTGGGTGGTGAAACCAAAACATGGAATCAATCCATGTGTCACTGTAGGAAGCAAAAAACTGCCCCGTTGGGTGTACAAGACGTTAAGAGCTAGCGGCTAGAGACTGTTAGTGACATGGTTCAAAATCGTTCTCAATGGTGCAGATGTTTCCACTCTTTTTAATCTCCGAAACCATTGTATTATCATTATTCTCGATGCAATTGTTCTTTCTCCCATATATTTCTGTTCATTATAGTTCTTTTGAATTTCTTTTTTCTCTCTATTGAAACTCAGTCGATCAGTTAATAACTTTAGGTGTTAATCCAGTAAAACACATTTGAATAATCAGTCATGAAAAGTCAAGCTCAACTACAGATTTCCTGTTATCAGTCTGCACAGGTTAATGTCATCACTAACTAACTCATCACTAGCTAAAAGAGCAACACTGAACAGCTTTTTCGTCGATTTTTGGACTTTTCAGAAGTGACCACCAGTAAGCCCTCGAGGGGTCAGACTTAAGACCACCAAATCACCAAACGAGCACGTTATCATTCAGCCAAAGTCGAATTTCAGCATCTCATAGTTTCAAGCTTCTACTAATATCTGATAAGCTGTAGGTTGTTTGTATTGGCAAACGATACACAGCAGGGTGACGAATAACAATAATAGTAATGAAAATAATAATAATATTATTATTATTATATACGTAAACAAGCAGATTAACCTGATAAACTTTTTATTGTTTTCGCTTGCTAATATTTAGCACACAGACAAACATAGTAATGCATTACTTATAATTTAAAAGTGCTTTGACGGATTCATTATAGATTGATTAATTGTCCAAATGATACGAAATATAATAGTAGAATGAATTGTGATATTAGCTTTAATTGTATCAAACGGAATGCACACATTCTGGCTCACATATACATACATGAATACAAGCGCTCACCTTAAGTTAGTATACAGATAAAACTTGATAAATGCATGAATGTAGTATTAGTAGTGAATGAGCTAATTAAAAATAACTCTTTATGTACAGAATTACATGAAAAAAAAAACGATAGGTAGTGTTATAAGAGTTTTGACACAGAAAGAAAAGCTAGGATGCTAAATTTCAACAAAACCATTGTTTCTACTTGCTTAGCATAATTTTCGACATATTCACTACTAGAGATTTGACTGTTAGATGATTTTTATTTGTAGGCTAAGTATAAACTTGTTTTGATGAGTGACAACTGCAGCAGAGAAAAACAACAAACATGAAGTCAGTCTCTGCGTCTACATGAGCATGCAAACCAATTACGAGAGAGGATTTATACATTAAGTGCAGCATTTTGAGCGTAAAATTTCATTTCAGATTAATCGTACTTCAACTTAAGCAACGAGTTAAATAATAACTTTCCAATCTTTTACAGTTTTAATTAAGATGGTATGAGTTCTTACTAGGCCAGTACACTAATCCAGACTCAATACTTTTGTGTGTGCGTCTGAACGAATTCCAGACGCATATTTAATGACAATCACAGTCATTATAGTAGCACAGATGCAAAACCCTGACAATATATCAAAATGTTTTGAATCCGTGTCGTTTCTGTTTTCCGCTGGTTCATGGATAGAGTATAAACACTGTGTAAAGGTTATGGATGCTTTATTCATTCTCTTACATAATGAGAGTTTACAGACGTATATGCTGCTTAGTTTAGGTATCCAGTGGTACTGATGAATGAGTTAACAGTGAAAAAGAAATAACCAAGCACCAGACTAGTAAAAAAAACGGTAGTAATACATTTCTTTGATGTATTATATATGGTTAAACAATGCACAGAATACACAAGCAGATGTTTAGTTTAATACAGATAGAAGAATGAGCTTTATTATGACATTCTGTGTTCTGTTGTTCACTTCCCTTACCTACTCAACACTAATATACACTTTGTAAGCAGATTTGATATTTGTTGACCAAAAAGACACACAGAGAAATATACAGCGTATTACTAATGGCGAGAGTGCGAAAGGAGTTGTCTCAGATGAAATTTCTCATCTTATAGGGAAAGGCAGAGCCCCACAAACCAGCTTGGATCACCTGAGCCACAGCCATGCTGTTTGTCTAGCCGTCAAAAGTCGGCCTCACAACTTCTTCCGCCGAAATGAGATGACTCTGAGTGTCTGATCATCACTGTCACCGTGGAAATGCTTGCCTCCTATGTTGTCACTTGGTAGGTAATTCAGAGATCTGGTGGCACATGTTTGAGCAGAGTGAATATCACACACACAATATCACCTGGAGAAATGGGATTGGGATGCTTTGACATATGGCAAGAATGTTATCCTAGTGGCTTCCACACCGTTCAGTGTTTGTCAGCCCTGGGACTCAGCGAAAACGTGGTATCGCAAGATAAAGGATAGTTTCAGTGAGTTGGTATCTGCTGGTAGACCAAGACTCCCAGGATTGAGTTTGAAAGATCGTAAGTCTCAATGGCTCCATACGGAACAGAGTTGAAATCAACGCTGCAGTTACCTTATTACTTCCACTACCAAAAATGGATGAAGTAATGATTACCTCTTTGAATGTACTTGTTAGCTATGCTATGCTAATTCATTCTGGTATCTCCAAATTGTTTTGTTCTGCTATTCTTTATATTGTTATATAATCTTGTGTGAAGCATTTCTTGGATATCGTGTTTCAAATAAAAATGATATCAATAATTTCATACACTCTGCGGTATTTATAACTGAACAATACTATGAAAGAAGAGATATGATTTGTATGAATTGATGGATTTACTCTTTTGTTGATCAGCTTCTACTGAAAATGCACTTTATAAACACTAACTTGGATCAATGCTGTTTTAATACACACATTCAAGAGCAATACGTTATCTGAAAATGCTACATCACTCACAATGTTATGTCAGAGAATTAAGATTGAGTTAGAGAACTACTGGAAAACCTGGGAGTACTGGACAGCTGTTTCGTCCTATTTGGAACTCCTCCTCAGTACGCACTCACCACCAGTGTTCGAACCCAGGACCTTCTGGTTACAAGGTGAGCTCGTAGACGACTGAGCCACTGGGACCCGATCCAATGGTCCTTGAATTCTAACTTCTGCAAATTCACGACATAGCGTGACCATTTCGCAATGTCTTCTTCGATGAGTTACTGACTCATCTACTGTTGAAGAGTCCCAAACTAGTACGAAACAGCTGTCCAGTACTCCCAGCTGGTTTTCCAGTGGTTTTCTAATTGATGTCAGCTCATGATGAAATCCTCCATGCAATCAAACAAAAAATCCCTACAAAACCAATAGCTGAAAATTCATCTGATGCGCACTAACAACTGGCACTATTCAGGCAGTTAACCTGGGGTTCTAATGGGAAGCCGTGACCAGTAGGGTACTGTTAATATTCATGTGAAATGCTAACTGCTAACCTCGACCAATCACAGTGGATGAGAACAACTTACAACTTCTAGTTGTAAGACAAAATAACTATAATGTGTCAACAGATCTAGGCAAAAAATCATCAGCATATGTATAGAATTTTCTTTGTAATCCTTTAAACTACAAGGGTGTAGCCATGTGTGAATGAAGAAAAATAGTCAAATATTAAACAATGAAGACGCCTGCTACTATATCACAGAAAAAGACAAAACACGCCCAAAATTCACCTCCACACTTCCTAAGCTTCAGCAAATATGAGATAAGCTGAATACACACATACACACACATGGATACACAACATACAACTAAGCAGGATATATGAGAAGAAATAAGCATTGAGAAGAAAATGAATTCGAAACTAATTAAAATATTGTTAGTGTAGAAATTGGCATGACTGGGTAGTTGTAGTAGTAGTCTAATGTCGCCACACTATCTCAGTCATGAAAAGTCATTATTATTATTATTATCATAGAGGACACAGAAATAAAATCCAAATAATCAAAGATCCTAAAATGCACTAAGATAAAAATAAGATGTACAAGGAGAAGAGGAAATATGATGTCATAATTACAGGGAAGATTGAGTATGAATGCATAGGCAGCATCGACAGACTTCCATTTGATATGATCTAAAGTCCACATAGACATCAAGTATCACTTATTACTACAGTACACCTGAAAATTATGCGCTATCTTTTATTCTCCACAGGACAGTACGAATTTCATGCAGTAAAGTGTGATGTGTACTATTCAAAAGCAGCACTGCAAATCTGTCGAGAACACGAAGTAACACTAGTACCATGAATGTAAATAAGACGGGGAATTCGAGTTGGGTAACATCTTCACATTCAGTGAAACTTAATGATTTCTACAAAAGTATTGGTTTGTAGGGACTTGATTGATTGGTCAGTGGGTTTCATCATGAGCTGACATCGGTTAGAGAACCATTGGCATCTGTTTCGTCCTAGTTTGAGACTCTTCATCAGTACGCACCCACCAGGGTTATGTTTCTCGACATTTTCTAGAGTATTACCGATTGGGAGCATTTAATAAGTCCTCAAATTCACAACATTCCATTACCGAGGTTCTGAAACCAGTATCCATAGGTGATTGGACAGAAGTTTCTGTGGCCCATCACTACCGCCGTGGTCTGAGTACATTAATCACGATTTCTCCTACTATTACTTCAGACACTTGGACAAATCACTGTTTTATTAAAAGTACAAGTATGTCATTAATAAAGTAATGAATGCAATAGCTGACAAAATAAAAAGATAAAGTGATATGATTTTTCACTATATCAGGTTAAGATGTCTCAAATATTTTAGGCATGCTGACGGAGTATTCCTTAATTGTATATCTATGCGACAATAAGAAGCGACAGTCGAGAACTCTGTAAGATACGACTGAAGGCTGTTAAAGTGGTGAGACAGTACCCTCCATTCTTTCAACAAATTGCATTATATATATGTATATATTTCCCCAAAACATATTACAGAAAAATATTTAGTTTTCACTAAAAAAATTCTTTAAGTGGATTCATATTTGAACCTATAAAAGGACAATTATTACTCCACCGTATATAACCAATTTAGTTACTAGTGTAGTATTTTCCCATACTTTGAAATATCCACATTGCTATTATCTGCCAACTTGAGAGTATAAAAAACGAGTGGCTTCATCCTAAACAAATTCACTCATTTACACCCACACCCACACACACACACACACCTAGATAAATACATACATATAAAGGTGATGGTTAAAAATTTCTAAAAAAAGAAAAACAAGTATATGATGAATAAGAAAGCTTACCTGTTTAATACTGCAAAGAATACTATGCCAAGTTTGTTGAGTTAAATTCACTATTGGATTGTTCATTTGAATATAAGGTGCAAGTTTTGGACAACTGTTAACAAAAAATGACAAAACAAATAATTAAAGGCTATATTCATCATAACAGCCATGCGCTTGCACTAGGCATAAAACATTGACATCCAACATTGTTGCTCTTTTTTTCTTTCACGTTTACCAGTGGAACATAGGGCTTCAAGATAGTGGCTTGAAGTTTCTGTAGCAGTGTTTATTTTACAGGATGGGGTTGCTACCCTCATGCCCAACCTTTCCTCTTTACCAGTTTCTCTACTGGCTTATGAGGTTTTCCAATACTTCTTATCTAGGAAGGTGATGGCTTAGCATGGCACAACACGTATCCTAGCCATTAACAATCGATGTGGTCTCATAAAAAACGAGTAACAATACAAATGCATAAACGACCATGATTTGCAACAAATATTTTGTATTTTAAATCAAAACTTGAAATAAAGGATTCGATTCCAGGCGCATGCACTGCCAAACCTCTCCTGATTTACTTGTCAATAATAACTCTGGAAAAGTGGGAAGATTGGTAGCAAGGCTAGCAACCCCACTAAGTAAAACCAATATGGCTACTAGAAATTAAAACGCCTCTAACCTGAAGCCTTACGCGTTCAACTCGAAACTCCAGCAATGGAAAATGATTAATTTAACCACCATTATACATACCTTTTACTTATCTTAGCTGGAGATAGAATATACAGGCAGAAAATATGACTTTACGCCATATGAAGTTTTTAACTAGATGATTGGAGGCAAAGAATCTTTAGACCTAGATAGTAGGTAACTAGTGTTCAATCGAAATATACGCTTATATGACTACTGTATTTATTACGCGTTTGTTTAACAAGTTGAAACGTTTCATCTTGTTATCTTGTTTAGACTGTGTCCTTATATTTTGTGTCTGAGAACCGTTAATCTACAGAAAGTAGCAGGCCTTATACATATTCACAAATACATTTGGCCGAATAAAAAAACTCCGACTTTTTTCTCACTCGAGGCTGGAATAACTATAAACGCGTAAAGTAGTTTTTATTTTAAATATTTTTTTTCTTAGTATTATGTTAGCCCTCCAGATGAGATACAACGCCAGAAATCCCCAATAAGTCATAATTATATATATATATATATATATAGTAGATCATCACAGAAACAAAAGGAATATTTCCAAAGATGTGTCACTAAAATTGTAAATTTTTTGTAGTAATTGCGTAGTGCAGAACGCATCAATCGGGTAGATAGATCTCCCTGATATCCAATCTATTCTGGACACCGAGCAAACTTGCAAACTGACTTCTGAGTTATCTACAGAGTACGAAAATCTTACCGAATGAATACGAGTCAAACCACAGAAGCTGTTGCAATGCACATGTTAAATCCTGAATTCTGGATATAGAAATTCGTTCAGTCGCTGAACATACACACCTGAGATATATAACTTTTGTCAGTCCTAATTTTCACTTTCTTGAAAATTTTATTACTTTCCTTCCTTTTTATTAGTATATACCTACTACTGCTGCTGACAATTGACCTTTTTTTCAATTTCAATTGAACTCTACTGAATCCCCTCATTATTCTGTGTCATTCAATTTATTTGTCTAATTTAATTTTAGTTTCTACTCAATTAATGCTTTCTGCATTACGTGATTTTTATCAAAAACTTACATATATTTGGAAATATCCCATATATATGTGCGACAGTAAAGTTTGATAATCATATCACCGAAAACAGTAACTCTTTGGTATCCTGGAGATTGTTCACGTATCCATTTCTATAGCCCTACACTAGCCATATTCTTCTGGATAGAGTCATGAAGGCAACAGTTCTCTCTTAGTGTGCCATAAGATCATATTTTGCTGACTCTGTTTAGTCGAATCTTCATTTTGACTCACTGAGAAGGAAAGAATCCCAGGTAAAAATACACCTTTAATGGATGAGGTTTAAAACAGGTATGCTGAGTGAGTATTTACAGAGCGGAGCCTGGGGGGATACAATCATCTATGAAGGGATCAAGTGCAACTAGGCATGAATGTGTACTAATGACTAGAGTATATTTAATAAGTGGAATATTTTGAAAATTCCACGTCTTGGTTATTATTAATATTATTATTATATTATTATTGTTCCCTTGGGTTCCTAGTGGAACATAGGGCTTCAAGTACACGTCTCCACTTGCCACTTCTGTCTTCCTTCTGCTGCACTCTTCACCTGCATCCATGTGCGTCGGTAGCACAGCGGTTAGGACTCTCGCCGACCATGCACATGGTCCGGGGTTCGAGCCCACGCCGGCGCACACCTGATATCTATGGTCGGCCTGCAAAATTTGGGCTCCCGATATCCAGGCTGAAAATTCCATACTTGTACTAAAAATACGGTGTGGAATCAAGCTGTCATCAAAAAATAAAAATTAATAAAAAATGTTAGTCCATACTGTTTCAACTCCTCTTCACACCATCTCCTCCATGTCACCCTTGAACGCCCCAGTCGCCGCTTCCCTTTCGAGTTTCACTCGAGCAATGGCCTGACGCGCGATGTCACGCAGCGGCCTCCTCAGCGAGTGTCCAATCCATCTCCACTTTCTCCTGCATATTTGTTGGGTAATTGGTTTTTGTTTTCAAGTATTGGTTTGTAGGGATTTGGTTGACTGGTTACAGGATTTCATCATGAGATAACATTAGTTAGAGAACCATTGGAAAACCTGGGAGTACTAGACAGCTGTTTCGTCCTAGTTTGGGACTCTTCATCAGTACGCAACCACCGCCAGGGTTCGAACCCAGGACCTTCTGGTTACAAGGTGAGCTCGTATACCATTAAGCCACCGGGGCCTAATCCAATGATCCTTGAATTCTAACTTCTGCCAATTCACGATATAGAGCAACCGCTAGCCAATGTCCTCACCCTCACTAGGACGAAACAGCTGTCTAGTACTCCCAGGTTTTCCAATGGTTCTCTAAATGGTGTTAGCTGATGATGAAATCCTAGTTCTTGTTTTATTTGTTCCCATAGTTTCTTGTGGGTGATTCTTTCCGGCCTGGCCATCTGATCTTCAGTATAGATCCAGCGAAGACAGTTGTTGATAAAGGTCTGGCCTGCAACAGGCTGTTGGAAATATTCTTTGTGACCCCACCCCCCAAGTTTCTCATCCGTATAGAAGAACTGACTGACTTGACGTTGTTTGTATTGAAAATCCGACCGAATTTTGTTGTTGATTCTGACTGAGTGACGAAGATTTCCAGATTAGTTGTTTCAGGTTGACGAATGTGTTTCTCGCCTTCCCGATTTATATTAATATTAACTAATTCATTTACTCAGTGAAATTTCACTTAGGTAGTTCATTTTCTATATTGTTTTATGCAAATTTGCACAATCAACAAGCAAACATAATTGCAACAACAACAACAACAACTACATTTTCTTCTGCTACTATTTCTCTACTTCTGCTGTGTATCTGTGTGCATATTCACCTACATCATTCATGAGACAGACTGCTTGTCAATCAAACTGAAGTACATTCACATTAACACTAAAATAATTAATTATATTATAGCAGTACAAACTCTCTAAGTGAACAGATGGAAACAATTTGACCATATGAAATAAATTCATACTACTATTATTTATGCTCATTTGTTTTTTTCCCTACAGCTTTTAAATTAACTGAAATCGACTAATGTGAATTATGCTGAACTCGATCGATCTAGCTAAATAGTCAAGCACACACCTGAGGTAACATCTCAGACTGATAGATTGGAAGTTGTGTTTATGTGTAGCAACAAGTTTTAAGGGACTGCTGTTTGGCAAAATGCTAGTGAAAGAAAGAATATATCACGATACAATGGAGTTAGCCAAAAGATTAGAAGTTACTTAGTCTCCTGATAAAATAATAAAAAAAATTGATGTATTTATTTGCGTGCATAATTGTATTTACTAGAGTGAGGAAGGATTACACTTTTTGGAGGGATTGTACAACTAGTGCCTATCTGTCGTCATCTTTTTCAGCATTTTGATTTAACTAACAAACACACTGCTGCTGCTGCTGCTGCTGTTCAGTAATCTTTACAGTGAATACATAAATGTATTAAACTTTATCAAGGCTTTATTTAACAATGTAATTTCCTTCAAATGACTGAACCTGAACAAAGCAAATGTCATACAAGAAGCGATAAACGCGCCAGGCGCAGTTTTTTGTAAAAATCAGTATTTTAACAGTTATATGGCCGGGGTGAAACTTTCACAGAACTGCTTCCCATACTTAAAATCAGAACAGAATTACAAAATAATGATGCTCTAATGGTAACAGAAAAGAGAATAACACTAAGTGAAGATCGGTGATGCTTGAAATCTAAAAGATGGTGAAAAACAACAGTTTTATTGTGAACGATTTCAATCCCCTTACCGTAGGGGATTTTTGGTTAAACATTTCTATTCCCAGCCAAATCTCACTCTTCAGCTAACACTTATTTACTACTTTCACTACATAAAATTCTGGCTGAATTTCGATGTAGAGCAGCCAGCTAAAGGCTAATGGAAAGTACACTGGAACGTTTCAAATGAAGAAAAGAGTAAGACCAAGTTGTCTACTGTCACCGGTGATATTCCTAATTGTGGTGGAACGCGCCGTGCGCCAACCAGAAAGTGCGTGGGGGGATGACGAGACATGAATATATTGGACCAACGGAAAAGAACTAGAAGACCTAGATTTTACAAAAGATTTATATCTACTGTAGCACAAAATAGAAGATCCACAGGCGAAAACCAACATACTGGTAGGAGAGATAATAAATATCGAAATTTGGGGGGCGGGGACAGATGAGAAAAGATCACCACCCAAAACCACAGGGAATCTAAAGGAAGCAGTCTCTTTCACTTGCCTGATCAGGCAGCACGAGTGAAGTCGGAGCCAGGCAAGGTCGAATCAGAAAAACAAGACAAGTGTTTTTTACTTTGAAATCACTGTGGATATGGAAGACGCTTAGCAAAAAGAACAAGATTTGAGCCCTCGTCACCGAAAGCACTTTCAAGTAAAAAGGCTGAAAATTTTTATCAATAGTTGCCCGTGCTGGCTCAATAGTGAAGATGAGATAGTCAGCCGGAGAGGATGAAGAGCAAAGAATTCTGGCATTCAGCGAACCCTCCAGGAACCTATCACCCAACAAATATGCATAAGGAAATGGAGATGGACTGGAAATACACTGAGGTCACTGAATGACAACACACGCCAGACGCTTGAATAAGAACCAGAGTAGGATACAATGACTTGTGCATGTAACACAGAAAATATGATGTAAGGGCAGTCGCGGAGCCAGACGGAAATGACAGCAGAGGACAGTATAATGGAGATGCGTGGCTGAAGCCCTATGTTCAACTCGGAATAAATAATAATAATAATAATTATTATTATTATTATGATAGTCATCCTTTGATAAAAATGTTACAGTAAGTATTTACAAGAAAAAAGAGAAAAGTGTAAAACAATCTTCACTTCCCACCTCATCGGTGGGAAGACCACTTAAATCAAATTGTGAGAAGATGCAGACACATATATTGGTCAAGTCAGAAATTTATACAAAAGTGCTCTTAAGCCAGTGATCCATATAGCCACTATCGGTAAATAGTAGTAATGTTAACAATGACTAATATATATGTATATGCTTACCTTATGATATTAGGGGAAATGTTTGTTAATGCACCATAAAGTGCTAATTCAACAGCGCATAAATGAAAATAGTCGAAGAAAACAGTGAAATGATAATTCAGTCCACGTGAAGGAGTTAGATGGATGCGCAGTTGACGTTCACTCACTTTTGTTAACATCTCCACAATAAATTGCCTATTTTATGTACAAAAAGGAGTAAACGTGAAGAAAAAGAAAACTGTGAACTGTTGTATAGTTAAATTTAATGTTGTCAACGATCAACTCTCAAAAATAATTAAGTTTAATAGGACCGTATCTTATCGAATGTGTGACTTTCAGACACTAACGTCAAAGTGATCGTAATTTTCCTGAAAGGATCCATTTACTGCAGTTGAAATGAGTCGAAAATATTTGGAAATAAAGCCATCTACCAACCTGAATTCTAACAATTAAAACTAAAAGATGAGACATTTGTGTGTATCAGTGTAAACATTATAATGACAGCAATAGTGCATTAAGTAATACGTGTCTATAAAGCCTTACTTCCGGAATAAAAATAACAAACCAAAATAAGAACTTTACATTGACAACTATGAGTAAATTATATGATCATTTGTTGAGTAATAAGGATATAATGGCTTAGTCCTAGTTTAGTTGAATAACATTCATACAATGAGTGATAGTTGATGTCGAATAGTGAAAGAAATAGGGTTAGAAACGTCTTCACTTATTGAAGTGAAATGAAAATCTAGCCTTAACAGCTCAATTGACAGGCTATCAAATTTCTAATCCCGTGGCTGTTGGCTCGAGTCCTGTTATGAATCGAATTCCTATTTCAGCTTTCGCTTCAATCTTACGTAACTCATCACCATAAATCGAAATACCTAAAATCTAGCCATTAAAACAAAGGTACTTTGTGTAGATATAAATAAATACAGTGTGTCGATAATTATCGATTTCAAAAGTAAAGGCTTCACGATAAACCACTTTATGCACATAAACTCTGGGAGTCAGTTGCTGAGACAATATACAACCAATCGCAGTTGGAAATACATGTAATCTTCTATTTTTCGTGTCAATCAACATATTAACCAATTACTGATTAAACTAAACTTTGTCTCAATTCAATAACATTTGTAATTTGGATAACGTTAAATCCCTTATTACTGCGTTTACTTTATTTGACCTGATATTTTTCGCATAAACTGAACTGACAAGAGATCAGATTGTTCGAAATGTATTGAACAATTGTATTACACTTTTCAGATAAACTCTGTTGTCATTCAATAACGTTATCCCAAAATGTAATGTAATCTTATTTGAGTCTTTAAACTGCTATCTTCATAATAACAACTATAGATACATAAATATAGTCATTTGAAAAGAAAATGACTGAAAACAATTCAAAACATTTGGGCCGATGATCATTTACACGTGTTATTCAGCGTTTCACTCAGTCCAATGAAAGTGTTGATGACAACCATTCTATAAATTGATTAGTTTTCGTGATAACCATTCAGTTCTGTTACAGTAATAAATTCAAAAGCACAACTTTGAGTGTAATCAATTAGTTATTTTCTGGCTAGTGAACACAAATCACGCGACCATTCAATCATACAATAAGTATACTTATTTTTAGCTTATATATCCAACCAATATAGTCTGGTCAACCAAATTACTACAGTACACCCTAAGAATTAACTCACAAGATAAAACCTGGAAATAAGTACGATATATGTGACCAGTAGGGTGCAGCGGGTCGGGTGTGAGGACAAATACTCGCCGAAGACATTGGCTAGCGGTCGCGCTACATATAAATCGTGAATTGGCAGAAGTTAGAATTCAAGGATCATTGGGTCGGGTCCCAGTGGCTTAATGGTATACGAGCTCACCTTGCAACCGGAAGGTCCTGGGTTCAAACCCTGGCGGTGGGTGCGTACTGATGAAGAGTCCCAAACTAGGACGAAACAGTTTTCCAGTACTCCCAGGTTTTCCAATGGTTCTCTAACTAATGTCAGCTCATGATGAAATCTTGAAACCAATCAAATCCCTACAAACCAGCAATTAAATATTTATGATTATAATCATCCTTAATTATCAAGTGTCGAATAGCAAAACAATTGACGTCACACATAGAATAATACATTGGATGTAGAGATGTTGGAAGGGGCTGTTGAATTATAGGGTTAGTAGGAAAATATGAAACGTTACATAACATGATGTGAAAGAATTCAACATTGGAAAAAAATCTTTGGATCTAGAAATAGTCTTGTAGTGTCAGCCTATAGATGACAAGTATGAATTGCAGGCCAATCCTATTCAGGGTGTTTATAGGACTGCGTTTATTCGGAGACTGTGTATCATTTGGGTACTCTAGACCGACTAAAGTTCTCCTTGAAACACTACAGTTGACCAACATCAGTCACATTCATCAATATGTATGCAATGGTATAAATAACATTGGTGAAGGTTGTCTCTGAATAACTTACTAAAGAAAAAATAGGTGGGATGGATAACCGACACTCGACTTACTTAGATTCGGTTAGTTGGACGGTGGTACTGTTCACAGAATAATCGATGTAGTTGTATGCAAGCTAGAAAAATGAATGAACTTATGCTCCTAGTTAGTGGCAGTATAATTTCAATCAGTCAGTATCATGCAATTACCTTGTACAGGATTAAGAATAAAATACCAAGTCAAATGCATTGTAAGAGGCAGAAGCATTCAAATCAACAGAGTCGGGGTTGTGCTTCAATGATCTATGCGCTTGGCTTTTAAGCAATGGGTCACAGACATGGATTTCACTTCTCCTACTCGGATAGCTAATTAACATTACTTGACCGTTTACAATAGGTGTATCGTTACATTTTACTTGTTTAGTCAGTGAAAAACAGCTTACACAAGAAACAGGTTCCATAAGTAGTCAATAAATAAATGTGTGTCGCTGGTTTATTGGTAGAATAATTGCCAGTTATGCATATGGTTCGAGTTTCGATTCCCGGTCGACGCACTCCCAAATCTCGCCTAGCCAGTATTAAACATCGTAAAGAGAGTAGATTAGACGTGAGGTCAGCAACCCCAACCCGTTAAAATCCACCACTAATGTTGAAACTTTAACGTTCAAGCTTGAAGCCTTGTTTCACTGGGAAAGCAAAGAAATAAAATAAATAAATATAGTCAAAAGTTGAAGGGTAAAACGACAGTCCGAAGCGGTTTAACAACCCCAATAAATCAATAGTAGTGTGCCCTATATATCCAGTTGAGATAATGAACTGACTGCTAAGTTATATCAAAATGAGATAAGTTTCTAGTCACATTAACTTCCACTTAAGCAACCAACACGTACGCACGCATAGAGCGGTATTATCAATGAATATCAGATACTTAGGTGTCTTTAGAAAAAAGCCACACTCTTGAATTGTGTGTGGGGAGGGAGGGGGTTGGAATTAGTTCATACACATATCTACCACAAAAAAGACACTTATCACAGGAATTATTCACTTTTATTATTATAATTTCACGACGTGATAATATGCGCATAGAAAAGATTATTCGCTTACATTTTTTTTCAAAAAATGTACACTGGTAACAAAACAAAGTCGCAGTAGGTTTGACCGAATTGAAAAACACACATCAGTAAATAAGAATCTTAAAAAGATAATAAATAAGTTTCAAGTGATCAAATGTTATGGCTGTTGGACTACCATTACTACTACTACGTAGGTTGAGAAATGAAAAACAGTAAGACAGAGGTGTATGCTCCGCATGCAGATGTAAAGATTGTCAGAACCCATTGGTGTAAATTATATTTTTTCTGTCCTATGAATGCATGTTGACTACGACTATTTGTTATTATGATTGATTGTTGTTGTTAAACGAATATTCTGTGACATGGTCTCAGTTTCGCGTCTGTGTATGATTAAGAACACAGCAAATGTTTAAAATACTTAACAGATAACTTTCAACTATTGAACACTGTGTACTGTACTGTACAGTGTTGACATGATGGCCTACTCAACCTACGACACACTGTTTAACAAGGAATCACATGATTTTTAACAGTAAATGTTGTACACTCTCCCAGTTAACAGGAGTGCTACTTATTTGCCAACTAAATTACAGTAAAAAAATCCATATGCATTGTGCAAGTCATGCAAATCAGCTATCTCTGAACAGAAGAAATATGAGACAAAATGTACAAAGCATAATACATACTTTGAGTTTAAAATGAGCTAGATGGGGAAAGGAAAGGTGAAATAGGCAAAACATCCGCTTTACCCCGATTACTCAGTGTTTTTTGTTTTGCACATACTAATGTTCCGACCTAATTAAAATTCGATCAGTCCTGAATGAGAAAAATACAAAAAGCAATTGAAGAGAATACCACATAGACTGATGAATGTATAAACACACATATTTAAGACCAGCTAAGTCGGGAAGAATATAAAATCTCTTTCTAGAAACAGACTTGTCAGAATTTTTCTTTCAAAAGCATCACGCTGAAAATTCCACACTTGTACCAAAAATACGGTGTGGAGTCAAGCTGTAATCAAAAATAAAAATAAATAAATAAAATAATACTACATTAGCAGAGATCGGTGAGTAACAACAAGGGGAGGATAGGTGTTCACTTCCTCAGCGGACTAGAATGATCTGTGAGGTATTTTTGACTTTATCCAAGAATTCACACCCACTGTTAGCCTTATAGTGTTAGTATTACTATTTAAAGGTCTAGCTAGTGTGACTGGGGCTTCTAAAGCATGGAGTATTGTGTACCACCAGAGCTTTTTGGATAAGAGGCATTCCTGTTCAACTTAATGTTACACCATATTGATGAAAATTTTATTTATGTAGTGAATCCGCGATTAAGAGGAATCGAATACTTATACGATTAAGTCAGACAGCTACATCTGGACGCGCATGCACAAACACACGCATAGGTACATACGTGCATGCAAATGACATTATAGAATGGCTTCACTGTAGACCATAAAACAATGATAAAATAAAAATTATCATATGCGATAAGCAAATTGAAAGAAGTCAGAAAAAGTGAACAGTTAAAGAGATTGTGTAATCACAATTTTAGACAAACGAAAAATACCTGGTCAATAAAAATAATTTGAATAAACCATTTTATTGATTGGCTGATTGATTGATAACCATGTACTACGAAACAAATTAGAAAGAAATC